TTATCATTCCTCTTATTTTGGATGTTTAAGCTACCTTTAGATAGGACATGTTTCTACTAGTATCTTTCATAGCTGTCACAATCATAGCACTGTTTGAAATAAATGGTTTGATACTAGAGTATAATACAGGATTGAATCAATGATAATCAATTGATAACATACATCAAGCACGCGTTATCTTTAAAGAATGGCTACATTAAATCACATGGATAAACAAGAAAGAGAGATAAAAGTAAAATGAAAGATGATTTTCAGTTTTTTCTTCCATTGCTTCATGTATTAGTAGCAATCGGCATACTAATATTTTTGTTTATTTTGAGAAAATTTATTGTAAATAAAAATGAAACCGACACAAAGGCGAAGATTTCCAAGAAGGAGAAAATACAGTACATTCTTTCTCTTACTCTTATCTAGGAATAGTTGAATAAATAAGTGATTAACACGACATAAAATACTGCATATAAACCTGCTACTGAAATTTCAGTCTTCCCGCCGAAATCTTCATGAAGCTTCCCAATAGTGGAGAAAGCTTCCACCACCATTTGGTAATACTCCTCCCACTCAGCAGCCTCCTGAAGAGGGTTGTCCACAAGACTTAAGCACAGCCGATTGAATTCCTCACCCATTCTGAAACCGTTAAAATAAGTGCCATTGAAAATATAAACCTGGTACAAAACATCAACAAAAATTAAGTACTTAACTTGAAAAACAAAACATCACCAATTTTAGATACTAGTAAGGCTCTGTATGGGCCATGAATGTCTTGAATTTTTTATCTATTTTAAATTGTTGAGGTCAAGTCGAAAGTACGTGCAGTCTACTTAAGTAGTCAGGCCTTTAGGCAGATCGAGGTTGAAAAATGACAAAAGATCCACCCTTTGTTTTGGGAGACCATTTTACTACATGTACCCTGAGTGTCAGCCTTTTTGGTTCCAAACAAGCAAGGCAAATGCCTCGACTACCTTAGTCGGTGACTAGTAGACCTAGAAATGGGAGCCTGGGGTCCCATGTGATATGATTAGATTATTGGTGAGTAGAATGGTACCTGCATAGAGTATAAGGAAATGGACTTTGGTTCCTAGCGCACTACTATTCCTGTCAAATTTTGACATTGCTTCCTAGCTGTATCCCAACATTCATCCTCCCCCCGTTTTCATTCCTACTAGCCCAGCATGGTCTTACACACCACCAAAAAGACAGTAACATTTGAACTTATTCAAATACATCATAGGCATAAATTATATAAAATCCAAGGATTTTCTGAACTGTAATAGGGCCAAGGGGGTGTTTGAGCCATTAATACATAGGCCTACATCTCAAATGTTTGAGGGTGGGGGGATGGGGCGATAACTTACCTTTAATCAACTTGTAGGTTTACTTCCTTGCTAAACAGCTCACCTACAAGACGCCCGCCACGTTTTATACAGGTAAACTGAAAGGGGAATTTTTTTAGACAGGTAGGCTAAGGTTCTATGATAAGGGGATTTTTGATCACGTGATTATATTCGTTCTTAACAGACAGTTTTAACTAAACCCGCTTAAGGAAATGTAGTATAAATTCAGTAAATTTGGGGAATGTAAGCCAACGCCTGATTGCACACTTCGGAATGCTATCCCAGGAACTGCGATCAGTGGATTTAGCGAAGGGGGGGGGGGGGGGGGTGCACATGTGATAGGCCTATACTTAGGCCCTACCACAGCGTTGCTCGCGTTCACAAAGATTGCATTACAACCGAACTAATTAAAATGATACTGAACGTCTCTTAAACCACTTAAAGGGGTTTAGTATATGGCACATGCTATTATGGTGTAAAATGTACAAGTATCGCTCTTTACGGTCTTTTCCGGCGTCCTTTTAGGGGTTTTCCTTACTCTGTAGGCCTAGAGCAGTGCCAGTAGGCCCATAAATAAAAAAAAATTATTAATAATAATAAGACCACCGACACAATAGACATTTTAATCAATGGTCTGGGACATAAATAAGGATTCAGTTTTCAAATAGATAAATGAATTTAAAGTTAATTTGACAGTGAGGATGGAAGGAAAAAGCACATGTTGAGTGCGAAATCAGTTATCGGAGTTAGGCCCTTTCTCCGGTTTGGGCTTCTCTTGTGAACCACATGGTTTGTTACAGCCAATCACATATCTTTAATTATGCCGCCATCTTTATTGTAACAACGTGAGAGGGAATTTCTTAAATAGATCGAGTTTTATTTTATTTTCAAGTTGCATCATCAATTTTACAATGTCAAACGCAGGTGGCGGAAAGGTTAGGCAAACGCGAAGAAAACCGTCGACTGATAAGCCATACAACAGACGACAGGTAATTTTGATTTAGATGTTCACTTGTGCTTTATTCTCAAACGAAAACTGCCACTGGCCCGAGTGACTGCCACACACACTGTGGTGTTCAGAAAGGACGCTTGTTAAGAGAATACACTAATAAAAGCACCCCATATCATTTTGCTTTGTGTTGTATTGCCTGTTTGCCATGTTTGAGAACAAGATGTTTATGTCCCTGTTTCATTTTGACATTATTTTGGACGTGTGATTGACTTTTCCAAAGTAACCTCGATTCTTCAATTGAATTCGTTGAGATCTAAAATTGATAAAGGGTGCTTTCTAAATATGGACTTAAATGTGTTTCAAAAAAGATCTCGCGTTTCTTGTACATGTGGTGGGACATGTAATTAAAAAGGGCACACCATTACTTTCATTGGTTTTAAAGATTTGTAGCATTGACTACATATTTTGTAGGTTTCTTGAAATAGTCTTTTAAAGAATGATGACAAAGTCATATAACCTTGATTTTCTGTGTCAAAAATATTGCCTCCAAAACAAAAATTTACTCGCAGGACAGGGTAAAATAACTTATTTAGATAGAAGCAAAATAATATTCTAGCACTATGATAGTGACAGACTTGTTTCCAATTCTTTGTTCAAGAGTTTTTTATACATTGTATTTATGTATGTATTGTATGTATTGCATATATTAAATAACCCAAAATTTAATATTATTAGTTGTAAATTATTTGTTTTTTATGTAAGAGCAATTATCGGGTATTTCTGTTACCAAAGCATTGTCACATAACTTTTAGGAACTTATCAGGTCACAAACTAAATTGGGTCAGAGTTTTAATCTGCTTTTTAGACCAAATCCCTTTTTTTTTTTTTTAGTACATTTGTTTTACAAAAGCATGCTTAAAATGGGTGCAAGTATATCTCTCAATGCTTAGCTGAAAAAAAAGAGAGGGCAATGTTAAAAATGAGTAGCAAATTGGCAGAATTAGCAGCATATTTACTGGATGAGTTTTCACTTTTCTCTTTCAGTCTCTGCTGAGCAGAGTAACAGATACAGTAAAAGATATCCTTTCACCATCCTGGCTAGTTGATATTGTATCCAGTGTTAAAAAGAAGACCTCACCTCAACTTGACACAGTAGAAGAACACAATGACAATGGGGAAGACCTGGAGGTTAGTGACTGAAATCCCATATATGTGTATAAGCACTCTAGCTGAAATATTCACTTGAATATTTCTCATTTCTTTATGAAGATGTGTGAGTCACCTAGGTGAAATAATGTGATGATCATGATATGAGCATCCCTAATTAGAAACTAGAGGAAAGAATTCCAAAGTAACGTAGACTTACTGGTCAGTGATTGCACTGGCAGGCAACATTGTCTGAGGTGCCAAGAATATCTATACATATGAATAGTGAAATGTGTCATGAAACTATGCCAAATATAGAGGACTGCTACCCTGTTATTTATAGAATAGTATTGATGTTGATACAAAAATATCTGTGTACTCTGATAATAAGACCCAGCAAAAAATATGATAACAAAAATATGATTTTTATTTCCAGGAATCCTACCTCCCACCCAGGGCAAAACCTCAGATGCCACCTCACATGCAATCAAAAGCTCACCCAAGCCAGCCTTCTTACCAGAGTAGTAGTGTATTAACTGAAAGGCCACTCTATGGAGGTTCCTCACTTGGAAGGACCCCATTCTCTTCATTTAAACCTGACCTTCACACCAGCACCCCAGGGACCTCTGGGGGACACATTCCTTTCCCAGTATACAAGGGGCAAGGGGAGGATCACAGGAGAGGGCTATCTCATGGTGAGTGCTAGGGCCATTGGTATGAGGAGGATGTTACTGAATTTTTCTATGCAACCTTATGTTGAATGCCAGTCCAGAATCATGATGCACCTTAAGAAAAAAAATGGCTACATAAAGTCAAGTGCAAGCAGTCCAGAAAAGAACAGCTGACTTTTCTGTAACTGACATGTCTGAATCACCTGTTATCACAGGTGTTGGTAAAAGTCATTTTTGCAGGAAAAAATGTTTGAAATATATAGAAATAAGCTCTCTATCGAAAGTGTCATTAAGTCCTGTGTTTATGTCTCTGCCAGTGAGTTCCCTGATCCCAGAGGCAGACAAGCCTGATTTTAAGAGTGAGATGCTACAGCTCCAGGAGGCACAGCTACAACAACTGAGGGAGGACCTGGGTGGCAGTGTGGCTGTCAGGGAAGAGATGAGTTCTACCGCAGTGGAGAAATCACTTGGTAATATTTTTATACACAGAAAGCCTTGGCTCATTGTTGTAAGATTTCTCTCTTAGAAGCTAGCCAGTTAATAACTTGAACCATATCATTGACTACTTCAGAAAAATTCATTTATTCACTGATTGGTAAATAATGAAAGCCCAGATATCCACATAGATACACTGAATTTTTAAGGCAGTTTCCAAAACCTTTTTAGTCTACTGGCCCAAGGAAAGCAATTTTACTCTCATCTGTTTCGGGGCCATTTCAATTTCTCAAAAAGTTGATAATGTTATAAGGTTGGACTCATAAGTGTGAGCTATATTAAAAATATATGGAGTGTGTACATTAAAAATATAAAAAGTATTTGTTATCTTTGCAAGTTATCATTTTTTTCTTCAGAATGATTGCTTGGGTCACTTAGAAATATTTAATAAAAGTCTTGTTATGTTTCTCAATGACAGATATGTCCCAGTCGCTATCTGGCAGTCATCTGTGGTCCACCAGTGAGGTGTCTAAGCCACAGCCATCAGTGAGAACACACAGACCTTCCTTCAATGCGTCAATCTTTGGCTCCCCAGCAACTGTAAGTATATGGTTTGTGGGTGTGGGCAGTTTAGAGAGAGAGAGAAAAGAGAGAGAGAGAGAGAGAGGGAAGGGGGGGTAGGGAGGAGGGGAAAGAAGGTAATAAGGCCAAATAAGTGTGAAATGTAATACTAAAGAGAATTTTAAAGATTGAAGATTTCATATTGCTCTTTTGTCTGGACATAATGTTTTAATGTGATTATAAGGAATTTCAACTTTTTTTTTTCATTAGAATACATCACTATTTGGAGGTCAGAGCTCCCCTTACTACCCAGGGAGGACTACGTTTGGTGGAGCAACTTCCCATAGGAAAAACAGACTCAACTCCACAGCTCCATATCAGGTGGATGTTTTTTCATATCTTTTCATTTTTCACGATCAACAACATGCCTTTCATGGGCTGTGCACAGTGCAGTCTACAAAGTATGACTCATTTTTTTTCCCCCACATGAATAAGTTTTGTGTCAGGCAACCCATTTCTGTCTGAGCAATTTATTGCCAGCTAAATTATATGGTGGTAGTATAATATCACATGCAAAATATTTTTATCTCCATATTTTTACCTGTGCAGTTTTTATATTTGGCATTGGTCATTGATTGAAGTATACTTTGTGAACATTTCAGACTGCTGCCCCTCTAAGAAGACAGGTGAAAGCCAAGCCTTTGAACAATACATCTACAGGAGTCACCAGTTCAACTGCAAAGAAAATTTTGGAAACTTTGGAGAGAATGTCAACACCTCTTAATGTGTGTAAAACTGATAATTGATATTTTGATGCATTCTGAATACTGTTCAAGTAATGCCAGTTTTGCCATGCATTGTGTTTTGATTTGAAAAGTTTGCAAAACGTACAGAATTAGATGTGTTTGAGTTTGCCTTATGTAATGACATACACTGTTTGCAGGTATACAGCATTGAAGTCATAAATCAAAGACATTATCTTAAGTAGAGTTCTGGTGTGTAATTTTTGCCACTTTGAAATATATTCACTTTTAGTTTTTGATGTATCTAGGATGCCAAGAAGATTCCAGCTTCATCCCTCAGTATTGCAGATTCTCCATTGTCTTTCACTGTAAGCATTATAATGGGCGGCGGTTTATACAAAAATGCAAAACACGATTAGTTGTCATCGTTATCAGATCAGTCGAAATGAAAACACGATTAGTCGTCGTTATCAGATCAGAAGGCAAAATACGACTAGTAGTCGCATTATCATATTCCTCGCTCTTACTCGAGAATTATCTCGAGTTCGAGATATTATTATATATATAATATCATTATTAGATTGTACGCGTAGAGATAATTCTCGAGTTCGAGCGAGGAATATGATAATGCTGCTTCAATAACGTCCGCCATTTTGATCACTGTGGATCATGTGACTTGGCCTAGATTTTCGTACAATGGGCGCCATCTGGCGTCAAATTGCGTTTTGATGACAAGTTGCGTTTTGATGACTAGTTGCGTTTTGATGATGACAAGTTGCATTTTGATGATGACTAGTTGCGTTTTGATGACTAGTTGCGTTTTGACGACTACTAGTCGTATTTTGCCTTCTGATCTGATAACGACGACGACTAATCGTGTTTTCATTTCGACTGATCTGATAACGATGACGGCTAATCGTGTTTTGCATTTTTGTATAAACCGCCGCCCATACATTATTTCATTTGAAGTAGAAACATTGAGTTCAACCTTACAGGTGTTTTTCTTAGTAAATGATGTGAGATTTTTGTCAAGTAGTTACTTAGGTACTTATGCATTTATGATCATTATAAACCCTTTAATTACATTGTGTAATTATTATTGATATTTTAATTGCATTGCAGCCGGCCAGTTACAGACAGAGGCGAAATCAACAAAATCACTCCTTGACCAGTAGAAGTCAGCTGAAGGTAATTTTGAATAAAAATCCCAATGTTGATGTTCATTTTAAAATCACATTTCACATATTTATACAGAAGCATTGTATCAGAAATAGAATGTATCAGTGGACCACGTTGATTCAGTTTCTGAGAGGGTTTAAAGCTGACACTTATTATAGACCTGTCAGGACTCTTTTGTAGGAAATAAATATTTTATCTCTTTGATTCTGTTATTCAGGCCCCACCAGTGATGAAGCTTAACACCCCATCAGCAGCCTCCATTGCTAAGAACAGACAAACATTTCCACAGCCCCCTCCTCCAGAGACAGCACCTAAAATACAGGAGAAACCTGGAACATCAACTGAGTATAAGTAAGAGTACGGACTATGCCTTTATAGAGAGGTGTCATTGTTGTGTATCCAAAATCCGGGACTTTATCTTGTCTGTTCATTTTCCTTTTTTGCTGTTGCTATTTTTAATTAGTTTTTCAAAATTAGATATTAATTCTTTAATGACCATTTGTTCAACAACAAAGCATGTTCATTATGTTAAATGAAAGTACCCCTTTTCATCCCTGTCATAAGTATAACTAGTTTACTATTTATGCCTAGGGTTGGAAGTACAGATCAACAACCAGCTCTCAGTAAGAGCAGTGGTAAAATGAAGAGAGAAAGGGCAGGTCACTACTCAAGGCAGGGCGAAGATGAGGAACAAGTATGTATCAACAGCAAAGATTCTTTGCTTTAGGTGGTTTTCTCTTTTTATGTGATAAGAAAGTGTGGAATGCGGTTCATTTTGGATAATTGCTCAAAAATTGGAATTTAATTAGGGCCTTTTGGCCACTTCTTTATTGGCATTTCCATACCCTATCATTGCACTTGGTTCAGATTTTCAGTGAATGTGAATAGTTTGCAAGTATCGGGTTTTGTTCTAGCCTCAGATCTATCTCATATTTTCCTTCTTGATTATTAGTTAGTTGTACTGCTTTTACGTAAAGGTAGGCATGAACATTATCACCCTTTTTAAGTGATTTTAACCAATGCTGCTTGGTACAAGTGCTTATACTTAATAAAGTCCTCAGTCTATTTAAGATGTTTCAGAGTCGAATGTTAAAAAAGTTAGCAGTACCAAGTATGGATAAGTGCTGTGACTTCTAAGAAATAGCCTCGGGTGTCGTTTTAGGTTGTCTTACCAGACCTTCCGACAAGCTTTAAATTACAAGTAAGCAGTATGCCCAAGTTTGACTTCATGGGATCTACAGGGAACACTGTGAATTCCGCTGACAAAGGGCCCCCTGTTCAGGCCAATGGCAGTATAGCCAGCTCACCAACCCCAGGGTTCGCCTTTTCCAACCCAATACCCCAGAGTTCCTCCGAGGCTCACCAGGGGTCACTCAGTCCTGTCAAACAGGTAAGTTATTATGACACACTGGGGTGATTTTTTGAAGGACAGTGCATTGGGTATCAGGGAGATGAATATGAAAAAATCTATCTCAGGAGTGTTCCATAATATTCTAGAACTGGACCTGTGAACTGAGAAATATTTTTTCAGGTGCCATGGAGACCTTTATCAAAAACATTCTAAAAAAATGATTTAAAAAATGTAGCAGCAGCAAGTGCTTTGGCTGAACAAATACAGGTGCATTGTTTAAAATTTGATATCGTTCTGTGTAATATGATGTTTAGTTCCAAATTTCTCTTTAATGTGATTATTGCTTTAAGCAATAGAAAGGATATAGCATAGATTTACTAAAGTATGTTAAGTAAATAGAAAGAAAAAATATTTTTACAGGATTTCAAGTTCAGTTCTCCTATAGCCATAGGAGAGTCCAGCAAGACCACAGGTGCCCCCACCTCCTCCAGCGTGGCCACTGCAATCCAGTTTACCTCCACCTCAACAGCAACCGCAGCATCCACAGTATTAAACAAGGACTCCAACTCTGTGCAATTTAACTTTGGAAGTGCAGCTCCTTCATCAAAGGGTGCACCACAGACCACATTTGGGTTTGGTAGTGGACCTTCAAGCCAGAGCTCTGTGCCACCTGCAGGTGGAATGCAGATGAAGTTCACAGCTTCACCTGTAGCACCCAAACCTAAGCCAAAAGCTAATAAATCTGAACCTGAGGAAGGTAAACAATCGCTTTTTATAAGGATGAGAATTGTTCTACTCTTTTCTTTCTTTTGTATGTGTTTGTTTAGTATAGTATTATAGTATTAAGATTTTGTATTAAATGTTCAAAAATTGAGAGAATCAATAGGCAATATTATTCTTGTATCTTACAAATTTTAGTTCCCATTCCCTTTTACTAATGAATATATAAATGATTGTGAAAGTTGATGTTTCAGTTGTTGATGCAGGCAACAACAACTCAATCCCTCGCTGTTTTCTCCTTACTGATGTTAAGTTTTGATATACTGGAGTGCTAATGACAAAAAATCAACAGATGACAATCAGATCTTTCCAATTTCAGATGGCTTTGCCTTTAAGCCAGCAAAAGAGTTGAAGAGCGGTAGTGTTATGGATATCCTGGGCAAGGGAACAACAACAACAACTACAGATGCCAAGTCTTCACCAGGGACTGGAATAGCCCCAGCATCTTCACTAAAACAGGGCAGTGTCATGGACATACTGGGTAAAGGTGAGGTGATTTGCAACTGGATTTTTGTATATGATGATCTTAACATCATGTTGCATGTTTCAGTTTCTGTTGATTTTGAGTCATGTTCTTTTGTGTAATGAGTAATTTGACAGCAGGTGCAGTAGACTCACATAATATAGATACGTGTTTGGGACTAGAAAAATTTGTTCAAGATTCCTGTAGATTTGAGTTGGGCAAAGTTGATTGTTCATTGCAGTTTCAACTTATAACAAGGGGAAAAATCTTTTTACAAGATTTGTTTGAGACAAACAATGATAAGCGTTATATGGCGATGATTTATGAGGTGTCTGGTGAATTTCTAGAGAAGCACTGAAGTGAGTCACAAATGAGTCATGTTATCAAGTTCTGGTTTTTCAGCCCCAGAAGTGTCACAATCATCAAACACATTAGTTGGGTTTGGAGATAAGTTCAAGCCTGCAGCAGGCAGCTGGGAGTGTGACTCGTGTATGGTGAGAAATAAAGCTAGTGACAGCAAGTGTGCAGCCTGTCAGTCTGCCAAGCCAGGTAATTTCTAGAGTAATTGACTTTTTACTCCTTTTCAATTAATACCAAAATATTGTTAAAAATTAATACAATTGGATATGGTTTTTATGCAGTTTGTAGCAAAATGGATTTTTTTTTTTTTTTTTTTTTGCATTTAATTTACCCCCATAAAATTCATTATAAGTGTCAGCTATTTTTAAATAACGTTCACTTTGGGATAAGAATTATGTGCAATGTTATCAGCTGGACAGGATATGCAAAGTTGTCTGCTAAACTAGATTTTACTGCAAAAGTGGTATTTATTTATTTATTTATTTATTTATTTATTTATTTATTTCATCGCAGGGTCCAGCACCACTACCTCTGTAAGTTCAGCCCCAGCAACTAATACAGTCAGCAGCTGGGGAAGTTTAGCAGATAAATTCAAGGCTGCTCCTGGAGCTTGGGAATGTAGCACTTGCTTGGTCAGGAACAAGGATTCAGCTACGGGGTGTGCTGCTTGTGGGACAGTCAAACCTGGTCTCCCCACCAACAGCTCCACAACAACAACCCCAAGCTCAAAAACAGACACTTGTTCCTCTGTACCTCCTATAAAAAATAGTTTAGGGAGTCTGTTTAAGAAGCCAGAAGGGAGCTGGGAGTGTGGTACGTGTATGGTGATGAATAAACCTGATGCCTCCTCATGTGTTGCCTGTCAGACGCCAAATCCAAATGGTGCTAAGACGCCCTCTGTTAAAGAACCAGAGGTGAGAACTTATAATATAAGTTAAGAATTCTGATATCTTGACGAGATGTGGCAATGTAGGGTATTTTCCTGGTCTGTTTCAATAGTTAACTTAAAAGCAACTGTAACTTTTTTCAACTCCATCAAATTACCCCAAAACTGCTGTGCTAGATTCAATTTGGTAGATTGTAGCATGCTAAACAATTTGATTATGATGAAATGCTTATGTATGATAGAATCAACTACAGTTCTTTACACATGGTTCTTAGGCTCTCAACTTTGATTATATTGTGAATCATGAGATTTGAATAATAAATATTCCCATGTTTCCCATGTTTGAACTGACATAGCCATTAAAAGGCTATTTATTATGATTTAAGATTCCCAAGCCTACTGGGCCACCATTATCATCCATATTCAAGAAATCCACAGGGTCCTGGGAATGTGATTTGTGCATGGTTCAAAACAAGCCAGAGGCAGTGAAATGTGCTGCATGTGAGGCCCCCAAGCCAGGGCTACAGCCCACAGCAGGTAATGACCATGGTATTACTGTAGTCAGCTAGTGGAAGCAGTCTGTAGGATTAAAAATGGTTCCATGCCCCATGCCAGAAACAACTGAATCCCAAATTATTATGAAAGTAAAATTTTGTAAATTTATTTATTTACTGGACATGGTTTCTACTTTGGGCCAGTAGATACCTAGACCACAGTAACCTGTAAGATGGATTGTTTAAAGAGTTTTTGAGACAGACTGTCAAGTAAATGTTATTAAATTTATGTTATTTCTTCCTCAGTTATTCCCTTTCAGCAAGTCCTTCAGGTGCCTGGGAAAGTGTTCGAGTCAATTTGAATACAGAATAACACTGTGAATCATCTATTGGTGTTTTGAATAATTTAACATTTAAAAGATAAATTCAGCTATACTATGTCGGAAAGCTAAACCTGAAAAAAATTAACACTCCAAACATCCTTTATTTTGAAATAAATCTAATCTGGTTTTTCCAGGGTTTACAGGATCCGGAATGAAAGGGGGATTCAAATTTGGCACTGGTAGTGGATTTCAGTTTGATAAAACCACATCTGGGGACAACAAGACATCAGGATTTACATTTGGCACCCAGACCACATCAACAGCCACTTCTAATGCAACAGGATTTAAATTTGGAGTTCAAGAAGTTGGTAATACTGGTGATATTAAGTTTGGTTTTCAAGACAAGACTGTCGGTACAGGAATCAAATTTGGGACTGGCGCAGATAAGCAGTCGGAAGAGAAGAAAGAACAGAAATCAAGTGGTGGTTTTAAATTTGGTGGTGATTCTGTAAATACATCAACAAGTAACACTGCAGCTTTTGGTGGTTTTAAATTTGGACAAACTAATGACAAATCTGTTGACAGTAAAAAAGAACAGTCTGGGGCTGAGACGTCTGTTCCTGGGGGGTTTAAGTTTGGTGCCAATCCCCCAGGCACCACAACAACTACAGCTACTATGGGAGGTTTCAGCTTTGGGAGCAAGCCTGGAGAAAGTACTCAATCAGTGTCCAATGCTGTCACTTCAGCAGCAGGAGGGTTTAGTTTTGGGGCACCAAAACCTTCAGTGAACTCAACAGACCTAACGGCGAATCCCTTCCCAGCCACTTCTGTTCCTTCATCTGGGTTTGCTGTGGGAGCTGGGATAGGTATACTATAGGAGCACAATGCTTTTCATTCCTTTGTAGCATGCTGTAAATTATGATCTGCATTCTTTCATTGCTAGTATATATTATTGTTTGAAAACATTTTACAAATTGGACTATGAAATTGTGACTAATAGTAACATTCTTTTTTGATTTATTTAACTGATGCACTGAACAAAAAAAAAAAAAAAAAGAACTAACAAAGTTAACTTTCAAATTAATAGTCCTCGTTATCTTACATGAAAAAGTCCTCATGCTTGTTTTATTTTGTATAATAGGCAAAGGTGACACAACAAAGCCAACATCATCAGGTTTTAGCTTTGGTAATACAGACACCAGTGGTGCAGCTGCTTTTACCTTTGGTGCAAAGCCTGATGAGACAAAATCTACTGGAAATATCACTTTTGGACAGACAGCACCCTCTAGTGGGGGATTTGGTGCAAAGGAGAAGTCTTCACCTTTGAAAAGGGGACATGAAGATGGTACGATGTAATTCCTGTCTTATGTAAATATTCAGCTGATATGCTGACTAGGTTGGCTGTGGACTGGCATGAGGAGGGGCGTGGGGGCTTGATTTCTTTATATTGGTACTGGTGTTTTGTTTAACTTTTTTGGATTGAATTATTGGAAAAAAAGATGTATCAATCAACAATCCCTAAGCTGATGAAAAATGTCCAAATTTCATTTGAGAAATAGAGAACAATTTATGATTAATAAGATGTCTAATTAATTTCCAGAGGATGAAATATCAGGGAAAAAACTTGCATTTGGGAGCATCAAGCCTACTGGTGCGGTAGCTCCCACAATCAGTTTTCCAGGTAGGTAACTGGCTTAGTTATTTTTTAATTTTGATGACTCATGGTCACGGGTATGATTTTTGTAACTAATGGTATGACATCTATTTAGACTGGGGTTGGTGAAGATATCAGTCAAACAGAAATAAGTTCAAAATCTTTACCTTTGCAGCAGCCTCAGTTACTCAAGCCCCAGCATTAGGAGGGTTCACTGCTTCAACAACAACATCAACAACAAGCGCCACATCAGCGCCATCACTCTTTGGCTCAACTGTAGCATTTGGTAGTGGAGGCAACACATCTGTCACATCATCTGCTCCCCTCCCACTCTTTGGCAGCAGTTCTACTGCACCCTCTAGCCTGTTCAGCACCCCATCCACCACCCCATCCTTTGGTACCCAAGGAGCACCATCATCAGGTTTTGGCACCACTGCTCCAGTGTTTGGTGCAGGAGCTCCGTCGACATTTGGAGCCTCGACAGCAACAACTTCAGCTAGTACCACTGGTTCAGTATTTGGGAGCAGCACGCCCGCCTTCTCAGGGTTTGGGGGCACTTTTGGGTCCACACAAGCCTTTGGAAGTGGTGGTGCTGGCAGTGATAGTACCAAGAATACTGGGGCACCTGTATTTGCTTCTGGTTTTGGTTCTACTGGACCTGGTGCCACCGGGACTGGTCCTGGTAAGCTTTGGCTTTTGGTTGATGTAGTAGTTTTAAACTGGTGAAGATCTGTGGACTACAAAGTTTGTTTTTCAATTGCACCAGTGTTCTGTGAACAACAAGAGTTACAATGCTTCACTTGACTTTTTATGTTGTTTGTTTGAATGTAAATAAAGGGGGTACCTTTTGTCTTTTTGACAGACTCAAGTCACATTAAGTTTCAGTTTTGCTTTCAGCACTTTGATTTTTGCAGTTTTATCATTATATCAGTGTAATCAGATTGTGTACTTAACTTTTTTTTAACAGCACCCTTCAGCACGACCCCCAGCTTCCAGTTTGGCCAGACCACTGCTCCAGGAGCCAGCACTGGGACAGGGGAGATCTTTGCATTTGGTGCTAAACCACAGGAGGTAGTCTGATTTAACCTGTATCAGTATATATATGTTATAGTTTTGTCTGATTTTGTGGAATTTGGTTTTTTTAAATAGATATTGGAAACATTTTGGATGAATTGCAGGTATTAGTTTTTTATATGCAAGAAACATAATCTGTTTCTTAGGTAATAAGTTATCATTGTCCAATGTCATCATTGTTATATTCATAACTATGCAAGTTCTGGTGGCGTTATTTCAGAGTAAACCAGCAGATGGCAGCAGTGGATCGACATTTGGTTCAGGAAGCTCCGCAGGCTTCAACTTCAGTGCCACCCCCAACACTAACTTTGGTGCCTCCCAGGCCACCAGCTTTAGTGCCACACCTTCCTTCAACTTTTCAGGCTCACAGGCCCAATTTTCAGGATTCGGGTAAATATCTAAAGATGTTATGTAAAGGTATTAATATATCCATCAGCTTGTGGGAATTGTTTGATTATTGCTTCATATCAGTACCTTTCTATTTGTTTTACGAAGAGAAGTTGGTTTCATCTTCAATATGTTCATTTTATTTTTTCTTAACTCTATTCATTGATATTAATTGTACACAAATTATGATTTTGATGTATAGAAATAAAATGGATTATGGCTGCACTATGATTTCTGAAATAACATAGCTCATAATACCAGCTATTATTTGATAACTTTCTAGTGCTACTGGTCCAACTCCAGACAACCCATTCAGTGCTAACTCTAATGTCACAAGAGGGAGGACTATAAAGAGAGCAGCAAGAAGACTGAAAAAATCATAATAGGGATCTCTTCAGACTGTCAAGTTCAAAGAAGATTTAGAAGTAACTTTCCCTGAGACATATCTGAAAATATGCTTAGAAATAAAAAAAAAAAATGAAAGAAGATTTCCTTAAAGACAGCTTGTTATATAAATAAGTTGGTGAGGTGTTGATTTTGTCTAGACAAAGAATACCTTTCTTTAACATGGCGGACTATCCAAACCGTTTACTCTTTGTTGTTTCATGGTGCCAAGAGTTCTGACAGAAAATGCTAAAAGTGGTTATTTAGTTCATTCAGTACAAATTCTTTCCCATCTAGTTCACTAGGTTCTCACAGGCCAATAATACAAAACTACCAGTAAAGTGGTGTAATATGTCTTGGAAAAAAATGAGTTTTTTTACAATAACATTTTTGAAGGCAAGCCATCAGTGTTAGAATTAAAATTAACTGCCAGCTTTATTAAGGACTATCAGGATAAAAGATATCAAACATTGTAAGTAGTGGAATTATTCTGGTGTCAGTCATAAAAGAGAAAGTGGATGGTTATCAAGTGCTCATTGTTGTACAATTTTGGCTACTTGGTTGATACGGAAGGCTTGGACCCATACACATTCATATACCAGGAAAGACGTCCAATGGAATATATGTGGATTTTCTTCTGATAACGGTGTATTACCTGGTTCTTCAATTATATCAATCAGATGATCTAAATTGATGCTGCACTAAGCTGAAATTCTGTACCTATAGTTATCACTTTGAAGGAGAACACTTAAGTTGAACATTAGAAAGTATGATTTTTATACCTTGTATTTTTTGAGAAAATTATTCATGATCTCTTATATAGCATAATGCCAGTGTAAGGGATAGAAGTTACATTATACACCGATTTTAATGTAGCAATTTGTAGCTTTGATAATGATAGAGATTTTGATTTCATCTTTTTTTTTTTTTGATTTGATATGGTGGGTACTGCATGTTGAAGATATTGTAAAGAATTTGAAAATTATTAAATGTAAAATGCAATCAAAATTCCCCTCAAATTACATCTTCCTAAGTGTACTTAGTTTACTATAAATTTATTTGAGAAATTTATGTATTTAACAGTTGATACTATTTCAGGAAACAGCAGATTTACTTGTGCAATTTAGTTGATCAAAGTAAGCATTCTGTACGTCTCATGTAGAATCAATATTCTGGATGATTAAGGGAGAAACATTTAACTGGAAGTGTGACGGTGTGTATGACAGAAGCATGAATATCTTTTCTAAGTGAAAATTGATATTGTAAATAATTGTATTTGTAAATAATATTGTATCTGGCTGTTATGCCTTAATAACATATTTCTACTGTGATGACAAGGTTATAGGTTGGAACTGCAAGATGTTTTGGTGAGTTAAAAAAAAAAAATCCAAATTTTTAATGGATTAAAAATTGCACTTTCAAGTAATGTTAAATTCTGCAATGCAGTGCATTGAAATATTTTCCACTAGTCAAACAAGACCTGCCAGAAACCTTAACACATAATTGCACTACAAAGATAATCTTTTTTTTTTTTTTTGGTCACCATTTAAATGATTATTGCTATATGTATGTGCTGGCACCTCATTAATCCACATTGTTATTATTGGACCCCAGTGCAGATTAAGGTTTTCTGGCATGGTTCTTGGTAATCTGAGACTGAGTGAATGGTGTATGAATGAGACAACCTAAAACCTTGTAAATTGTGGGGTGAACTGTGCGTAAGTGTATTTGTTAATATTATATCAAGTTTCAAGTCCTAGCCAATATTTCTACATGAACATTTAACATTTTATCATGATAAAGTATGAAAGCTTAAGTTATGATCCATTACTATCAGATGGTGTTTTTATGAACCAAGGGTGATCAAAAAGTTAAATAATAGTCATGGTTAAATAAAATTCAAGGTTCATGTAGTAAAATGTTTAGGGTGACACAAAAATTATACACATTTAGGTGTACAAGGTTGAAAGAGATACTCGGTGCATCCTTGATTTAAAAGAATTAGGGCATACTTTTTGGGGCTTCATTTAAAATGTCTGTCAAAAGTGAGGTTACCTTTGGTAAGGTTTCTTTTGTCAAAATTGCATTAAATAGAAAAGGATGTTGTTTCTTCAGCCTTGTACATATTGCTAGAGGACAATATCTTAAGCTCTTGTTCTATTTATTAATCATTGCAAGGAAAATGGAGGAGACCACATTGATATTTTTAAAGTGAGAAAAAGCTTATTGTTATTTGTTGATTTATTGATAGATTTATAATGGACTTGCTTGAAGTCAAGTCTAAGAATTACAAGTAATGTGGACTCCTTCATCCTTGATGACAAATCATTGTTATTAATAAATTTATTTTGTATGTGTGTGTCATAATGATTTTAACATGAGTGAAAGAAATGTTAGATTGTATGCAAAAATCATTGAGACCTTTTTATGATGAAAGAATTTGTAGGGCTCCTCTGCTATTATTCTCTAAAATGTCCTCAATTTGTTTAAAATCTGGTTTTTGGGTAATATATTGGTTTGTAGTATCTTTTTGATACATTTTATGATACTGAAAAGTTCTTTTCCAATGAATGAAAAACAGATTCCTCATTAAATTCATTATGATAATAAATGGAGTCATTCTTTTTATTTCAACATTTGAATTTTAAACCATTGCACATCCGTGTTAAAACGTTGGCATATATATATATAGTACTAGGGTCAGGAAAATATGAGAATGACATCTCTGAATGCCACAATGAAGACCGAGTATAAGTGAAAGATTTCAATTAAACCAGATGTTGAGTAAAAATCCTCCAATTTTAACACTGCAATTCAAGTAAAAAACTTGCTTCTAATAACGTCTAAATTAGGTTCACTTAAACCATATATTTGAGTGGAATGTACAGAAACTACATGCATTACAATCTTTCATAATTTTGTTCACTTAAACAAGATCTCTACAATTTCTATTAACAAACTAACATTAATTTTTTCATAAAAAGTTATAAATGATTGACAGTGAGTGAAATACTTTGGTGTACGAGATAATAAATAGATACATCTTACAGACAGATACCAACACCCCAAAGCATATCATTAAATAGCCCATAATACTTGAACATAATACTTACATCTGTATTAACCTCTAGATCTTTAACTTCATGTAACCTCGATCTACAAGTCTAAAGACTACATATAACAGTGGTGTCAGGAGTAAACTACCTCAGGAACTTGACAGGGGTGCCCCAGAAGTCTCATGTAATGTGTCAGATGATATGACATTGAACACAAAGCCATGTACTATGATTTACAGCTATTCACGACAGAATGATAATTTTCAAGCACAATATCATTTTGGAAACATAATTCCCACCTGAACAGATCGAAATGTTGAAAATGGGTGAAATTTTGCAGTATTGGTAAGATAGCAACTTGGCAGAGAACCTGATTTTTGTAATCCTCTTTTCTACAGCATCAGTGTATTCTGTATTCCATAAACCTTATCAATGTTATTATCTACTACAACGTCCAATCTACAGTACCCCAGCTGTCTGGACGATAACTGCACACCACACAACAGGACCTGCCTTAAATATCTACAAAATGTCATTCTCCACTGTGGCTGTCTGTGAATTAAAATGAGGCTGTGGCATCAAAAATTTGTCAATAAGAAGACCAAAATACATACTATTATGCATTTGCACTAATATGTAACACGAAGTGAAAGAATGGAAAATTTCATCATGAGAATGTCTGTGAGAGTGTGAAAGCATGACCAATTACTGGAATTTTTCAGATCAAATGTGAGCAAAGTGTATTCAGTAAGAAATCTGTAAGAAATTGAACAAATATTCCAGACTGCTGACCTTGACTTCAAGATTGGCCACCAACAATAATGAAGCATGAGATGATTTTAGAAAATAAACAGATAAACTGTTTTAAATGTTGTTAGAAGAAAGCGTTTTCCTCTTTTAATTTGATCTCAGGCTGACAAGAGTTCTTCATCACTATCAAAGTCATCCTCCTCAACCTGCCCATTGATGGAAGATTTCCTTCTTCTGCACAAGGAGATCACAAATGACAGCGGTATCACCTGTAACAAAATTAATGTATGAAGAAAAGATTTTAAAAGAATGAAACATCTAAGTAGAACAAATTATTTTCATTAAAGTCACACCTCAAACAAATGGTGCTCAAATAAGCCACAAGTCTGTTAACAAGGAATGAAACTTATGAGAAAAAGAAAAGATATGTTTATGCTCCACAGTAAATAATCAATCAACTAACTACATCAAAATAATGTGTATCTCCAACAAACTATTCAAATGTAAACTTCAAATGTGCATGAAATGGGTTTCTTGGATATTTGAAAATAAATGAGATGACTTTTTCCCCGTTTTTAACAAGGTTGGTACAAACTGTCTGCCCCTGTGCAGAAGCTGTTGATCAGCTTGTTGGAATGAAGCAATACCTTGACACATTATTCAGAAGAACTTATGTACTAAATAGCATATATAAGGCATAGTGCTTGAAACCCTGTTGTACAACCAATTAGTTATCATTAATTCAAAATATCTAAAAAATTCAGAACCTCCAGCTCAATGAAAGCATAATGGATGGGCAGACATTTATCCCATGTGAAATAAAAATACATGTAATGACAAAAAGTTAACATGACTTACAGCTAGGAACACCCATCCTGCCCAGTAGTAGCAGGCTCCAAAGAACCAGACCTTGTAGAAGAATCTGGTCAACAATGTGGTGAACCTTGTCATCACACAGTCACCTGGTAATAAAAAAGGTTATACAATACTAAACAAACAAAATGACCAAACATCTTTCTTTTGATGTGTCCAAAATATATTCCTGTTTATAAGATTTATTTTTTGAATATGTGAAAACAAACATTATTACTAATTTAAAAGCATGCACAAAATAAATCAACGTATATGAACAGTAAACTGAAACAATAAGCACAATACACCCTATACAACAGCATATAATTGTTTTACTTCCTCAGAGTTCTTAATTTCACACCTGATACATGTTCAGTTAAAGTGATAGACATACCTTCAGGTGCACTGGTACTGCACATAGTGACCTTGGTAGAATTTGCCTGGAACAAATTAAGAAAAGATAAAAACCACAACTTACATTCTTTTTGTATCTGATACATTCATTTAATTGATTTAAACTCTGAAACTTTTATGTTTGAGATGCAGGTAGGGTAGTATATATAAACCCAATGGTATGGTTTTTTTCCCAACTCTGATCATTAAAACTAACAGTATGTATGACATAATAAACCAAATCTCCACCATATTACTCACCACATAATGCTGGCTGCCATACATTGAGTACTGTGGTGTCAGCTCATATATGATCACATTGGTAGCCAACACAATCAACATCAATAGAAAACACATCATGAGAAGACCCTGGGGTCTGGTTTTTCTAGGCCGAATCTTGTACATCTGAAAAACCAACCAACAAACAAAAAAGTAGATTGCAACTGCGAAGTTAATTTCACAGACAGTTTCATCAATTATATTTGACATAACTTTGAGATAATCAGAGTTGTCTGTCTGGCCCTATGACAGCAAATATTGCAATTAACATATTTTTGCAACCTCAGCAAAACAAACTTCAAAATAATCATGTCTACTACACACAACTAAAATCATTTTTCAAGCAAAGCAAGCACACCTTTATCCAGAAGAACCAGATTCCAATATCGTGAATTCCAGCCATAGAGCAGAAGAAAAAGTACATAATGACACCTGCCATCAAAATGTAATCTAGTGGGAAAACCTGAATAGAAAACAAAAAGTGTAATATAATACCTGATCTCATTTACCCTGCTACAGCCCCTATAGATGAGTGCTCAGACATATTTGAAAATGAATTGCATTTTATTTCTGGCTTTATGCAGAAGTATAAAAAATTCCTTTACTAGAGGCAAGCACTGAACTACTAATACCTTTTGATCAGTAAATAGCTAATTATGTCACTTTTGTATTCATATGTACAAACCTGCTGTGAAAAGACCAGTACAATATCCAGTGGGTTTGGTAACGTTCTGTGTGGCAGTGCATATCCCATTCTCCACCCATAGGAATGCATTGCTTTGTCTATGCTACAAATAGGGAAGTGTTAAATTGTACACTATAAAAGCTCAACAATAACAAACAAAAAAAACTGAAAAGTTACTTAGGTGAATTTTAATTTGCATAAAGGTATAAATGAAAGAGTCAGCATTGCTTTCATCTTTGCACGACTTTTAAAAACTCTTAGACACTCAAATGTTATTGCTGAGAATGTAAAAACCAAGAAAAATATCACTTTTACAAAGAATTAATTGACCAAAGGCTGTCTGAATACTTACTTAGTGAGCAGCAGAGACAGGAAAATCAACAATGCCACCAAAAAGAATACAATTCCTGCAATCATCTCCAGTGGGCGGAGAATCTTAAGGCATTTGCTACAACAGTTGTTGGCCTCTGCCTGCAGATGGCGCTCTTGTCTTTCCAGCAGGTGCTCCTCATCTTCAAGAGATTCTATCTGACGCCTGTCCCTAGCAGAAATGCGGCGCCCTGCACCATACTGAAAAGAAAAAACAAAAATCAAAAATACATTAAACCCCACTATATCCTTGCTAAAAAGACCAAAAAAATAAGATTTACATGTTAAATAAGTATTATTAAAACTTATACAAGCAGTATGCATCACGTATATAAAAACCATGCTACTGTAAGGGGATGCTGACTGTACCTTGTTTCTTATAGCTTCAATTTGATCACTCCTTCTTGCCCTATTCATTGAAACCTCTGACAGCTCAGTACTAGCCCCACGGGTCCCTCGGATGAGGTTCACTGGCCAGGCTGTCATACCATAAGCCTACAAAGACATATTTAAGATCAAATTATTCTAGACTTTTTTCTATATCATCTGCAAATAAAATTTCATCATTGAAAAATGTTCTCAAACAAATATCATTAAAAGTTTCAAAAAGTCCTGAATATCAAATAATTGAATTGCCTTTTATGCATGGGTTTTCATAAGTTTTACATCTAAGAATATTTTTTCAAAACTCACAGTGTATATCATGAGTCCAAGCAGACCAATCAGTGTCAGTGAACAGATGAGAAATGACAAGGCATCTTCTCCATCTGAAATAATACAAGACTATTAGTTTTTTTTCCCTACCTAATAAACACAAACGATTTAAATTTACATTTGTGTTGACAAATGGAGGTTTAGTTGATCATGCTGCTTTCAACATATTTATCTTCGGGAAAACAAACCTAATTAGTACAGTCACTAACAATTCTGATGCTACATCAAATATGACCAGAATTCTCATTGATTGTTGAGAGGCAAAAGTATATCAAAACATGTATGTATATTTATCATCTGGCATTTTGGTGTCACCTAGTAAGTTAATAACTTGCTACCTTGATATTAAAACCTACCGTTTGTTGCTAAATCCTTGAATAGGAACTCCAACCGTTTCCATTCTGTCAGATTGGCATCAGGTGCAGTCTTCACTGGAGCAAAAGCTCTAGAAAAGATATCTTTTTTCAAGATAAAGTGGACCCAAGTATTGTGGGGATAAAAAGAAACATTTTCTGAATTTACATCAAAAACCTTTCACAACTAGGCACCCACCAAAGATTCAGTGATACTGGCTTCTGCTATATTGCCCTGTCAGTTCCACCAACTGTGTTATATTCAAACAGGTAGTTCATGACAGTTTTTTGTTCTAATTTTTCTAATTAAAATTTCAATATAAAAATCATAACTTACCCCACTAACAACAGCACTCCTGCTATGAACAGGAACACCAAAGTGTACAGGAATGCAGAGCAGAAACGCTGAAAATTTATTTTCCCATTTGAAAAGTAAAACAAAACATCAAAATGATCCACAAGAGTGAGGTTGGTAATAAATATTAGACTTTCTGGGAGTTATAACACCAAAATCATACAAAATCACTTTAACCCCAATAACAGCACAATCCATAGTTCTTACAGGGATACAACTCAAATTCGTTTAATTTTGAAACTGGAGATCTCTTCTGTAAACACAGTGCATCTTTAGAAATAATACATTTTTTACGGTTTTATTTACCTTTTTACCGGGATTCTCATCTTCTTTCTCTTCATAGTAAAAATATACAAATGGTAGGGCAAAGAACAGGAAGAATGTGATCAGTGCATACATGGCTGAAAATAAATGAAATATTCTAATGATCTGGATAATACTAAAATGTTATAAATAATAATTATTCTTCATAATATATTTGTTATTGTATCTTGATACATTTTATACATTTTATCACCTATAGATCATATGAACCAATACTAAATGAATACACTCACTATAATAGGTGTATAGTACTGATGTCTCCACTTCCTGCCTGGTAACATTGGACTCTGCCCACTCCTACAACAACACTTACAAATGTACTCTCATTTTTCTGTAGTCTTGACTTATAACATGTCTTATAAAAAAACAGTGATTTTACAAGATGTCAACCATAAAGGTAATATAAAAATTAATAACTAAAGATCACAAACAACTTGCATTTTTATCAGAAAACTTTGAGTATTTAGAATAAGCCTTACCACCCCATTCCACTGAAAATAAAGCTACCTACTGAAAATGAAACAGACGCAAGATTCCTTTGATTATCAGAAACGAAATTACCTTGAATTTTCCATCTGGATCTTTCATAAAAGCTACCAGAAAAATGTCTACGGGCACTAAGGCAGAGGTCAACAATGCCACTGCTACAGCTAGCACTGAAGTAATTGTAGAGCTCCGCTCACTGTCTGTTTTACTTCTGTGAAGTCTAATATAAAGTGCTGAGAATATGAGAGTCAGCTGGAATGATATTGAAAGTGGGTTTTATTATGCAAGACATTAATTTTTATACAAAATATTTTATCATAATGTATTAATGATTCATTTTACTTTATAGTGTGCATTACAACATTGTCCTTTGTCAAACAGGCGCACTTGCATCATCTTAAAACTGGACTTAAAACGCTTTTCTACAATAAACAAAAACACTGAGCATTCTTCAATATTTCAGAATTGTGCTAAAAATAGTAAGAGCTGCTAGTGGCTGCTGTAGTTGGTGTCAAACACAATATTATATCACAAGACAACTTTCTTAAATTCTGCGGATATATCTTAAAATTCTGATAATCTACAGAACATTGCTACATAAACATATGTGTTATAATCATATCTTAAGAGAAACGATTCTTACCAACACAACACAGGCAAAACTGATCCAGCCGCCAAGAACCACCGGATCAGCCATTTTCTTTATTTTGGTTGGAAGTAATATTCTAAGATGGGCTAGGGGATTTTGCCAATAGAGGGCTTCTTGTGAAAACNACACACACACACACAAACAAATCCCATCCCTGCATAATTCAATAATTAAGAAATAATTTCATTCCAGACGGGGACTCTGACGGAGGATGGACTGGACATGTGGGGCGTGTTGCCTGCCAGTGATCAACGGTCAGTGTCCACCATACGTAGAGTTATAATATCTATATCTTAAATTGACTGTTGCCAAGGATTCAAATTAACATGCCTCCTCCTGACGCTGAGTAGAATATAGAAATGCTGATGGTTATATGAGTATGTTGGAAATGAGGAGTAGAATAGCCTTCCAATTCATTAGCTGCTGTTACCTCTATTCATTATCTCCAATATTTTTTTAATAGGTTTACAGAAGTAGTCCACGCCCCCAGCTTGTTACCAAGGGGACCATTCCTGATCACCATGGCAACGTGTCACTCACTCACAAAGATCAAAGGTCAAATCAGTGGTGACCCCCTTGACCTCAAGATGTTTGAGGTCACAGACTGGGTGAGTTTTTCCTTTTTCCTTTTTTTTAGCACGCCACAAGCTGTCCAAGTTGCCTAGGTAACATTATAGTTCCAGTGCAGTAGAGAAATTTATTTTTTAATGGAATGTATACTTTAGGAGGGCTGTGTTCCATGTCTTTTACTTTTAAACCGAATTCACTTTATTAAAACGAACGTGACATTCTGTAGTTTTGGCCCGCGCTGTTTCTCGATTCTAATATTCATGTAGAAACAAAAATTCAGAAGTCTATCTAACTGTCAGGGATGAGTTTTTTCCCCCGTTATCAGCAGATTTCCAACTTTTTGGAGCCCAAAATATCACTGCCCTAGGCAGCCCCTTGGACCGAACACCATGTTTTCCAACGTTTTCACTAAATGGCAGTCTCTTCACTGAAACATCCATGTTATTGTCATCCAGGAACTAGATGAGCCAGGTGAGGAGGACACCTCCAAATTTGACACCTTTGCCCCCACAGTGGTTCGCCCCCGCCACCCTGATGTGGTACGAGACTCGAGTCTGGAAATAAATGAGGTAAGATGTTTCTGTATGTAAGGAATGAGGTAAGTGCAGTCCCAAAATATCACATTCAATGTAGAAAAGAAAAAGTAAGAATCATTTGAGTCATTGTGAGAAGGTAGAGTCAGTTGGCACAGTGGGATGGTTGTTACAGTCCTCTGGAGTAAATATTAGAATGCATATTCCTGTAGGTTGTTGCATTATGTACTAAGTTTTAAATTTTAAGAACTATTGCTGTTGACATTTGGCATAATTTACTCCCTGTGTAAGTGTGTGTTGTATTAAATGGATCTGTGATGGTATTTTATAAAAGATTCTTTTCACTTTGTCTTCAGCCAGGTGACACTCCGTATGAAGTGGGCATCGTACGCCAGTTCACCTTCTCCTCCAGTCTGCAGAGGATGTCCGTTATCGCCAGGACGCTGGGAGAGAGAAACTTTTGTCTGTATGCCAAGGGAGCACCAGAGACCATCGCATCGCTCTGTAAGGTGGAAACTAGTAAGTTGAGAGGTGAAAGGTGTCTTTTCACAAGATAGTCATAGGTGATGTATTTTCTCATCTCATAATACAGGGTGACCCCAAAAACAAAACAGAACCCATAAAATTTTTTATTAAATCTAACCAAGGTCTGTCAAATTTCAGAATAGCAGATTTTGGCACGTACTTCTATGCTTTTATGAGCTTTCAAAAAATATTTAAATTTATATTTACTATAATCTTACTGAGCCAGTGTGGTATATAATAATATCATGTTTTATTTCTCCCCCAGTTCCTGTAGACTTCCATGATAAACTTCTGGAGTACACCCAACATGGCTGCAGAGTGCTGGCTCTGGCCTGGAAGCCACTGCATGCCAAAGTGAGCTATGTGAAGACACAGAGAATTACAAGGTGGGAACTGTGTGGTTTTGTCAGGACTTGATATCTGTTATTGAGAGATATGTAGTTATGCTTGGGTGTAATAAATATTATGATCTCTAAAACAAAGTATGTTTATGCTTGGGATTAAACAAAAATTGTTAAGATAAAATATGATTGGAAAATATTTAAAAAGTATCTTTTTTTGATAAAGAGCTTTTTTTCCTGCCAAATAAAGACTGAGTAAAAAGACAAATTATTCAAAAAGTAGACATGGTTTATCCTTACCAGAATGTTCACTTTGTATTTTGTTTCTTCATAATAGAGAGCAAGTGGAGTATGACCTGATATTCCTGGGACTTCTGGTGATGGAGAACAGACTGAAACCTGAGACAACTCCTGTTATACGACAGCTGAGGGAGGCCAATGTGCGCACTGTCATGGTTACAGGTAGGATTGGCATGGTAACAGGTGTGATTGTCATAGCAACATGTATAGTTGTCATGGTAAAAGGCAAGGTTGTTATGATAGCAAGTGGCATTGCCATGGTAATGGGTATCATTTTCCATGAAGAGAAATTGTTTCCATCTGCAGAAAATGCAGTCTCGTGGCCATTTTGTTTTTCAGCCACAAATTTTTTTTTGTTTGTTTAGAGGGGTAGGATTGTTTATTTATTTATTATAGTATGATACTGACATATTTATTTATTGCCTTGATGTATAATGGGGATTTTTTTATTAAGATTTATGACATAATGTTATAATAATTGTCCTCCAGGTGACAACATGTTGACAGCAGTGAGTGTGGCCAGAGACTGTGACATGATTGACCCCAGCCACCATGTCATCTTGGTGAACTCAGTGCTGCCCCCTCCAGGCAAGACAAGACCGACCCTAGAGTGGATGTATGCAGAGGACACCAAGAAGAAGGTGGAGGAGGTTCATTGTGACCCCTGGAAGGTAAGGCACTTATCTTATATCTCACTGTATGATCTCCTGCTGTACTCAACATATGTATGGAATGAGGTAAGGTAGATTCACAGCCCGTCACATCAAACGCAATGTTACAGTCAGAGCTAGCACAATATCACAATCACTGCTAGCACAATATCACAGTCACAGCTAGCACAATATCACTGTCACAACTAACACAATATCACAGTCACAGGAAGTAATATTCTAAGATGGGCTAGGGGATTTTGCCAATAGAGGGCTTCGTGTGAAAACTAGTTATTTTTCATACCACTTGGTGCGCTGTATTCCCATTCACAAAATGATGACGTAGACATATTAAGCTGAAAATAGCGGTAAACTTGACAGCAAAGAAGGTCCTATTTGAATATATTATATGATATTTACGTGTTTGAATAATGCATATTATAAATTTTAAAGCTATCAAGATGTTTCCAAGATCTTTAAGAGAAAATGAATTATTTGGTCATGTGAGGTAGAAACATAATCATTTACTATTCTTTTTACAGGTGTTTCATTCCATGTGAGCCTTCATGTAATGTTCAGGATTGTATATTATGAAGGCATGGCTTATTTTTTGTAAGGTTACCCATATTATCTTTGAATAGGTAACTGAATATGCTTTAAAAAAACTTTTTTTTGCCTATATATATAATATTTCTTTTGACTTATTTTTTTTCCTTTCCATTATGTCTCAAAGGACATTGTTTTTTGTGGTTGGTGTTATAAATTAAACCTCAAATAATACAATGAAAAAATTGAATTTTATTTTAACCACCTTTAAATGTGCTGGCACTTTTAAAAATACATTGATATATATGTAATAGTTTTTAAAAAAAGGTTTCCTTATTTATGTTTAAAAAAAATTTCAATACTTTTCTTTTTTTTCAATTATTTCCTTTTTTTTTCGTACAGGTATAGGTTTGGTGGCATTTAGTTTGTATAATTGTTTTTTATCCCAAATGGCAATGTATGAATAGAATAATTTGAATTAAATTCCACTTGCTTTTAATTTTATTTTTTTTTCTGTGTTAGTGATATAAAAAGACCTGAGAATATTATGTGACAGAGTTTGCATTAGATGAGGACACGTACTATGCTGTCTTGGTAAGTATTCAATCCATTATATGGGACTCTCTTAGATTTAGATTTTGGATTTGGGTTGTTTTTACTAAATTGAATGAAGGCAGTTTATCTCTGCAATAACTGTAACTCTGCTATAAGATATGCTTGACATAAGGCAATAACAAATCTATATAATTTTAAAATAATCCTGTTTTAATAAAAGAAATCGCTACATTTGTTTGTGTATTAAAATAAGTTAAAAGACATAATTTGGAGAATTTTAGTATTCTGTATTAGATCTGATATTTGACTTATTCTCCACCCAACACCAATTTTTGTATTTTGTTAAACATGAAGACATATTGAACTGACTAGGACTTATTATTTTTTTCACTTGTGTCTATTGTGCTTAGAATTGTGGAAGAAAGGAGGGTAAATTCACCTATGTCAATTCCCTTGGAGATACTGACCAAGAAAAGGACATTATCACAAGAAACTGGGGGTAGTTGAATATTAAAACAGTCTTGTCATGTAAAAAATGTTATATATTGTATTGTATTAATAATTGGTTTACAGGGGTGGATCCAGAGATATTTTCTGAGTCTTCCAAATTATCTTTGTCGATCCATCTTCCATTTTTGACCGTCTTCCAAAGGAAAAAAGTAAATACCCACCAATGTAAGCTCGGACCTTCTTCCAGAAGACCCTGAAGACAGTCTAAATCTTTCATCTGCCCCTGTGTTTATATAAATTATGTTAATTATATGTGCAAGGTGCAGACAATTCAATATTATGATTGGGTTAATAGGTATAATTTTTCTTGTAATGTATTTTCAGCAACTTCTCCAGAAGAAAAAAAAGGGTGCCAGTTTGTCACCATTGAACATGAAAAACAACTAAATGGCTACACTTGTCGGCTGTGGTGTACACATGTGAGTTATGCTACCTAGGAAGCACACATTTCAATATAAGTTCTAAACTTGTACACCTCTAAAGAGTCCCCAAGGGGATTGTAGGCCAATGAAATAATTTTTAGATTTAAATTTTATTACTTAGCTCCCAAGCAAGGATTAAACATAATTCAATATGACCAGACCATGTACATAAACACAGAGCAAAAATATAAACGCCCAATGTGAATTTATTAACATTTTATGAACAGCACAGACAGTTACCCGTAATGTATTGAACATCAAAATCACTTTTGTGTAGACATATTTGTATATATATATATATATATACATTAAACCATTGTGTAGGGATTTTCCTTTTTTCCTGGTATATTAATAGAATCATTATTAATTTTTATTCAGGCAGTGCAGTACCTGTTGGAATATGGCTTGGGCAAATTAACAAAGATGTGCCATCCAGACTTTTTAATGGGCTAAATGTAGCCATTCTGGTTTTAAGAAATATTGGTATGAATATGGAATTTAATTTTGTTAAAAAAATGATAATGAGAATTATGATATTTATTTATTTATTAAGTAAAAGTTGGATGTTAGATTTAAAATACAAAAAATGTAATTCTAGCTTGTATTCATATTTATTTTCAATAATGTATTAATATTTAAATTTATGAATTTAATGCATTTGATTGCTTTAAAGTTTTTTATGCCCTGAAAAAGCCTTTAAGGATCTCTCAGTTTTTGACACTTAAAATTCCTGGACTCTTGTAGCTTCCAAAATAGATGGGGTCATGTTTTCCCACCTGTCTGTCTGGAAATGTCACTGTGTTGTCCCTTTGGTTTGATGTTTAATGCTAATAACTAATATAGTATCTTTTTCTTGATTTTCAGTTGTTGCAGACAAAAGCCACTTCAAAATAATACCTATCGGCATAAGAGCAGATTAATTTTGTCATAATGCAACACTTGTGACAGTTTTTTTTTAAATTATACAAGTGCAAAAGGGAATCTTAACTGGTCCAGTGAATATAACTGTGACATGTCGTTATTTAATGCAAAAACAATAATGGATCCAGAATAATTTTGTAAGAGACCACTACTACCAAATCCTGGAAATAATTTTACTATTATATACTGTCATATATATATATATATATATATATATATATATATATATAAAGAATATTGAATCAAACTTTTGCATTAACTGTGGGGGGTCCATTACATTTTTTTATATTTTTATTGTTACTATTTCTATAAGGTGCAGATGGGATGCTGTGTTGAAAATGGTGCCTGGGTGATGGACTTGTTAAAGAGTCATGTGCACTGAATTAGGGGTATAATATGCACTGTACTGTATTTATGTCCTTATTTTTATATAATTGTGGGAAAATCATTTTTAGATCTGAACAAAACACTGCAAGTGAAGTAATGAAAATATTGATATACATGAATACAGTTAAATTGTTATTTAAAATAAAATTAATTTTGGGTGGTTCGCAACATTTTTTTTTCACTTCCAAACCCAAGGTCTCTTTATTACCTGCAGTAAACAAACCTTATGCAGTTTATCTAAGAGAAATCAATATACTTGTGCAGGCCCGTAGCCAGGGGGGGTTCGGGGGGTTCGAAAGAACCGCCCCTTTGGTGGGAAAAGGTCCAGTCTGGGTAAAATTTGATCTATGTACATGAAGTTTTTATGGGAAAAGGTCCACTTTTTTAGAAAAAGAACCCCCCTTTTTAAATTGCTGGCTACGGGCCTGTTGTGCAACAGTAACTTAAAATGGTTAACCTACTGATTGTTGTAAAATATTAATTAAAAGATGAGGCTCTCCTCTTATCTTATTTTAAATGACATGTACATTGCACTGTGTACTAGTAAAGACAAGTGTGAATTTTATTTTAAGAATAGATCACATTAAATGATGAAATGTTGACCAAATATTTATATAATTTTGTTTATTTACAAGAAAAAGTACTCTACCCAAGAGAACAAATAAGTTCAGATGCTTCCCCCAACTCTTAAGAGATTATCAGAGGTTAGTCATCTGTGAAGGTCACATGGTTAAGTGGCAAGCACAGATTCCAGAATAATTGCAAGAACCACCATTTTGGTAGTAAAATTGAATTTATTATATTTCTCTGAGTTGTTTACAAAGTATTCTTAGTGAAATATGAATCTCCTATCAGGCCCGTGGCCAGGGGGGGTTCGGGGGGTTCGAAAGAACCGCCCCTTTTGCTGGGAAAAGGTCCACTCTGGGTAAAATTTGATCTAGGTACATGACGTTTTCATGGGAAAAGGTCGACTTTTTCAGAAAACGAACCCCCCTTTTGAAATTGCTGGCTACGGGCCTGCCTATATAAATGTGTGTGTGTAAATAAGTATGTATGTAATATATTCCATAATTGAGATTTATTAAACTCCCTTTTATCAACTGCATCTTTTTCTTTATTATTATTTTTTAAACCACTTTTTTTCTGTGGGTGACATGGTAATGCTAAAAGTACTATAAGTTTTATGAGAATAAATATATTTTTATAATACACTTTTTCAGTTTTTTGCAATTTTTTAGTAACCAAAGACATTGGTTAAAAGTGGGAATTCCTGTGCAAAACTCTCGACCCAATATGTATCACAGATTTAAACTCAGTAGATTATATATCATGCAAATCTCAGTAAAAAAAATACGCAGTGAATACAAGATTCCTAACAGGAAAAAGAAACAAAAAAATTGAATTAATAAAGAACGAAGGAGTGTTTAATCAAAAAATATCCGTAATCCATCCACAAATGTCTTTCATATCAAAACTGTAAATTTATATATATTTTCTTTTAACATTTGTCTTGGTAAGAATGGATTAATTAAATTGTTAAATTATACTTTGTTGGTGGCAATAAATTGGAAGAATAACAGTTATTTTTTTTTTATATACAGCGTTTGCTTTTATGCTTCCTGGGCTAGCATTAAATTCACAAATCGGGGCCAAGAAGCAAGTTATAGGTTTACCATTATAAACTATATATATATTCGTAGGACAAATCCCACTTTTCTCGACATAGGATTGATACTACTACTTAGAAATAATCCATGCANCCCCCCCCCCCCCCCTTCTTCAGGTGCCAAAGTCGACACCCTGAAACATGTTATCTGTATTAAACATTCATTTTAAAATAATCACGTGAAAATGCTTGTAATTTTATTGTAAATAATGATTAACGCAGGGCCTACGTTAATTTACATAGTGCATATATATCTGTTCCTTCCAACGCTGTTTCAACTCATGAGTTATTCTGTTCTCATATTACATGTACAATTCCTTAAAACAACACACACAAGAAAACACGTAAACATAATGGTATATTTTAATTGTGACTTGCTGTTAAGTACGTAATAACCCTATTTTCTTCATATATTTTCTTGAGCAGTACGTACGTAATATCCCTATTTTCTTCATATATTTTCTTGAGCATAAAAGGGTCATACGCTACTGTACGTCATCATTTTGTGAATGGGAATACAGCGCACCAAGTGGTATGTAAAATAACTAGTATTCACACGAGGCCCTCTATTGGCAAAATCCCCTAGCCCATCTTAGAATTGACCCATTAGAGCCTGCGTCATCAAAACAAGCGGCAGCCATGTTGGAGGGAGACCGGAATCGTCTGCTGCGCATGATTATGTCTAGTATTTAATTTCTGTATTTTCTTTGATATTTAACCGAGTAAAATGATGAATTACTGGCGAGTATATGATAGATAGAAGATAACTAACTTTACAAGCGTTCACAGGCTGCCTGCAGTGGTAACGACGACAGTGGTAAGGGACGAAAACCGTAAACGGAGGAGAGACCTAGAAGTGGCTTTAAATCAAGACTCATCGGACAAGGATAAAACTAATTTATTTTACAACAAAGAATGAAGACCCAGCTGTGCAGCCTTTACCATAAAAGAAAAAAAAGTAGAAACCCAAAGACCGAGGTGTACAAGTTTGGAGCGCACGTACACTGCACATAAGTATTGCCCAAAAAGTTTGGGTGAAGAGTGTTGTAAAAACGTGTGGAAATACCCAGGCAGGGTTTCGACTTTCATTATGAAGACTCACTTATTGCCTTGGGTGTAATTTGTTATCAGTTATGGTGCTCCCCGGATTTTATCGGCTGTCATCCACCTCTTAAATACCTGGTTAGCGTTATTGTCAATTAGTGTCAAGGCTACAGTACAATGTACATTTGTACACAGCTCAGCTAGGCCAATTAAATCAATTACCTGTGTTAAGTGTACTTGTAAGTTAGTAGCTTGATTTTAGATTTGGTGTATTGTTAAAAGTAAATCTATTTTGTAAGTATATATATTGTAGCTCAGGTATCATTTAATTGACATATAACCTAATGAAATGAATTTGAAAAATGTTAAACTCTGTGTTTTCTAACTGTATTATGTTGCAAGTTACAATATGAATAAAAATAACTATTGTTACCCGTTTTTGTTAATTTACATTTAGGGAATTGATCTGACATTTTCCCACCAAGCTGCACTGAATAATTGGGTGCAAGTATATCTTGATTATATATATATATATATATATATATATATATATATATATATATATATATATATATAAAGAAAAGCTTTTGATGAAAGGTACAAAAGGCAGCTACAGTGTGGGTGACACACAAGGTAGAAGGCGCAAAAAATATTCTTATATCTTTGTGACCAGCTAAGGAGACAGGATCTTAACATCAGGAGAGTGAGTCTCAGTGCATGACAGGAGTTATTTAATTTGGATTTGTTTGAAGCGGCACACAGAACTGAAAATATATCACAGAAAGGACAGTTCTCATTTGTTGGAGGAATTTTGAAAAAATGATCATTGGGTTCTGAATTTTACTGGTTTTCCTAACTTTTCTCTTTGAATGATTTTTTGAAGAGGATTGATCTGCCAAGCAATTTTATTGATTCTTTACTCCAAATGTTTATCATATTTCTGTATAAATCAAGAATTATTCTGCCATGCATGTTAATTGCAAGTGACTTTAAATTGCAATCTCATCCTTTTCAAAATTTTTGCTCACATTGATTGTTAAAGAAAATCTGTACCCAAAGTCAATGTGCAGTGTTCATTTGTTGTTTTGAAGTTGTTATCCTGATAGCTTGCACACCACAAGGATAGGCATTCTATTTATAAATTTAAAATTGTGNGGAAATTCCTGTGCAAAACTCTCGACCCAATATGTCTCACAGGTTTGCACTCAGTAGATTATATATCATGCAAAGCTCAGTAAAAAAAATACACAGTGAATAAAATATTCACTTCTACAACTTCAGTTACAAGATTCCTAACAGGAAAAAGAAACAAAAAAATTGAATTAATAAAGAACGAAGGAGTGTTTAATCAAAAAATATCCGTAATCCATCCACAAATGTCTTTCATATCGAAACTGTAAATTTATATATATTTTCTTTTAACATTTGTCTTGGTAAGAATGCATTAATTAAATTGTTAAATTATACTTTGTTGGTGGCAATAAATTGGAAGAATAACAGTTTTTTTATATACAGCATTTGCTTTTATGCTTCCTGGGCTAGCATTAAATTCACAAATCGGGGCCAAGAAGCAATTTACAGGTTTACCATTATAAACTATATATACGTAGGACAAATCCCACTTTTCTCGATACAGGATTGATACTACTACTTAGAAATAATCCATGCATGTCAGGGGTGGATCCAGGATTATTTGAAGGGGGATCTGGCTTTTTTGGAATGACAGGCTGCAGATGCAAAGCTGACCCTCGTTCCACCTCTATAGGGCGAACAGTGCTATTTATTTTAACAGAGACCATTGATGTGATTTTTTACAGAAATCGAAAAGGGGGTCAAGACCCCTCCCCCACACCCCCCCCCCCCATCCACCACTACATGTTATTCATTAGAAATCGATAAATAAAGTGTAATTATAATCTGTTTAATTTCAATTATCCATAGATTATCTATGCTCTTAGATGTAATTGACAATTTCCGCTGCAGAAGAGTGAGAGGGTACTAATTACCCTCAACAATTCTCAATTGGTACTGTAGTTTATACATATTATGCGGATTGTTTTGCTCATTTATAAATAATATAATACATATTTTATGTTATTCATATAATGATGTGAGCCCCCCCTCCCAACTCCTTCAGTTGCCAAAGTCGACACCCTGAAACATGTTATCTGTATTAAACATTCATTTAAAAATAATCACGTGAAAATGCTTGTAATTCCATTGTAAATAATGATTAACGCAGGGCCAACGTTAATTTACATAGTGCATATATATCTGTTCCTTCCAACGCTGTTTCAACTCGAGTTATTCTGTTCTCATATTACATGTACAATTCCTTAAAACAACACAAACAAGAAAACACGTAAACATAATGGTATATTTTAATTGTGACTTGCTGTTAAGTACGTAATATCCCTATTTTCTTCATATATTTTCTTGAGCAGTACGTAATATCCCTATTTTCTTCATATATTTTCTTGAGCAGTACGTAATATCCCTATTTTCTTCATATATTTTCTTGAGCTTAAAAGGGTCATACGCCTACGTCATCATTTTGTGAATGGGAATACAGCGCACCAAGTGGCATGTAAAATAACTAGTATTCACACGAAGCCCTCTATTGGCAAAATCCCCTAGCCCATCTTAGAATATTACTTCCGGGCAAGTTGGACCCTCATATTACCCACAAACCTTTGCGCGCAACGCTGTTTGAAATAAACAAGTTGGTGAAATTGACAAAGCTTGCCGGTGTCTATACCGTCTGATTGATTTTTTAAATTTTCTCTCTGGTATCTTTTTGAGAATTTATATTAGAAATATTCTGTTGATTGTAAGAATTAAAATGCAAATCCATTGGACTTTCCGTAGAAATACATTTATTTTGCCTTAGGCCTAATTCATTGTAAGGGGATTCCAGCACACGAACGAAACGCAGTGCCTCGATATGAAACCAGACAACTTTTGTGTTTNAAATAAAGTGTAATTATAATCTGTTTAATTTCAATTATCCGTAGATTATCTATGCTCTTAGATGTAATTGACAATTTCAGCTGCAGAAGAGTGAGAGGGTACTAATTACCCTCAACAATTCTCAATTGGTAGTTTATACATATTATGCGGATTGTTTTGCTCATTTATAAATAATATAATACACATTTTATGTTATTCATATAATGATGTGAGCCCCCCCTCCCACCTCCTTCAGTTGCCAAAGTCGACACCCTGAAACATGTTATCTGTATTAAACATTCATTTTAAAATAATCACGTGAAAATGCTTGTAATTCCATTGTAAATAATGATTAACGCAGGGCCAACGTTAATTTACATAGTGCATATATATCTGTTCCTTCCAACGCTGTTTCAACTCTGTTCTCATATTACATGTACAATTCCTTAAAACAACACAAACAAGAAAACACGTAAACATAATGGTATATTTCAATTGTGACTTGCTGTTAAGTACGTAATATCCCTATTTTCTTCATATATTTTCTTGAGCAGTACGTAATATCCCTATTTTCTTCATATATTTTCTTGAGCTTAAAAGGGTCATACGCCTACGTCATCATTTGGGAATGGGAATACAGCGCACCAAGTGGTATGTAAAATAACTAGTATTCACACGAAGCCCTCTATTGGCAAAATCCCCTAGCCCATCTTAGAATATTACTTCCATTTCTGTAACGTTCTTACCGACACACGTGTGCATATCCGGACCGAGGCGGAACCCTGGTACGCATGAGCAGTAGTAACTTCCGTCTGTGTCTGTGCACTTCTGGTGACAGCCACCGTTTGCTACTGAACACTCATCGAAGTCTGAAACAAACAGGAAAAGTGACTGATGCAGGTTGACGATAACGAAGTTTCTTACAATTTTCTTGAATTTTGCGCGTTTCGATATGAAGAACATATAGGCCTACAAGTCGAGGGATAAGCTTTTATGTATATTGTATATTGTATTTCCTTGATTATGAATCTAGATGCTAATATAAGCACAGCACTCTCTCTTAACATGATATTGTCACAGATATTGTGAAAAGTTCAATAATTACTTATGCAGTCTGTGCCATTGACAGGTATCATCTTAGTGCCAATGTTACAGATACATTGATACCCAGCGTCTAGTGTCTCACGGCAGACGATGTTATCAACTAGAAATAAATTGTTAAAAAATATTCAAGAAAAAGTCCGTACTAGGCCTCAATATCTTGAATTTAGAAAAAAAATCCACAAATAAGTAAGACAATGTTATACTGTTATCTATATTTTCTTAGTTATTTTAATATTTTTATTATGCATATTTTAAGAACAGATGAGACAAAGTAGAAATGAACGTAAAAACATAGAAACTAAAAAATTGATCGATACGTATATCATGTGACTTACCTGTGCATCCAGGAATCGTAAGCGGTTCTAGCTTGTATCCTGCCTTGCACATACAGCAGTATCCATCATACGTATCCACACAGATCTGAGAGCAATTGCCGTTGTTGTCCTCACACTCGTTGGTGGCTATGTGAAAAATAAAGATATTATGTTTTATTATAGTACGTATGGCACAGGGATGGAAAATTGCTCGTGTTATTTTTCTCATTTTTCTATAGTGTATTTTTCTTCGGGGGGAGGGGGGGGGGCTCCAAATCTCAGGGGAAGGCACTAACGCAATGTGTAGCCCCGGGATTCGCCATGGCACATACTAGTGCGAATCATGGTAGCTCTGTATCGCATTGTCATCGTTTTACTTACCGAACGGCGAAGCGGGTCCCGGTGGACCAGGGGGTCCCGGAGGTCCTCCTGGAGGTCCGGGTGGCCCTTGGGGACCCATGGGTCCCACCAGGCCGTTGAGACCCTGGGGGCCAGTTTGCCCTGTGGCGCCAGTAGCGCCGGTTGGTCCAGTTTGCCCGGTTTGTCCTGTGTTACCGGTCACTCCCGCTATCCCGGTAGGTCCTTCAAAAACAACAGGTATAGGTTATGTCATATCCTAAAAACCCGTTTTACAATTATCACGGATTTTAATCTTAACCTGCTCGTAGTTTTTAAGTACTCTGAATATATGTAAACTTAATTCGGATAAAAAAACGGGGCAGTCGAATACCTACGAATGAACCTTCAACTCTAAAATCGGACTTCATCCAATAATTTTCATCAAAATCATCTTAGATTCGTATTAATGTTTCGGTAGACAATAGGCTGATTAACACATTTTCAAAAATAAAAAATCAGAAGACGGAGAACTTTACCCCTTGGTCCTGTCTGGCCTGTTACGCCAGCAGCGCCCCTAGTGCCTATATCACCTTTAATTCCCTGGGATCCTGGAAATGTATTTCAAAATAGTTAAGAACAGTTACATTGCATTGGGACTGAAAGTAGCCCATATTATTACTTAAAAATCTACAACACAAGAAATATTATAATTTAGTAAATGGCTAACTTCAATTTTGTGTTGTAAGATTTTTATCAATTGCTCAGAATTTTAAAACAGCATCTGACATACAGACTGTAACATATGGATTATGATTATGTATTACAGCTGTTTACCAATCTCTCCTTTTGGTCCTTGTGCTCCAACGGGCCCTGCTGGGCCAGTCAAACCTCGTGGACCAGTAGGACCTAAGGAACAAAAATATAAATTAAGACTGAAATAAAGCAACATTCAGAAAACTGCCACAATGATAAGACAATTATTACGCACAACTAAACATGCCGTATTCTTCTTAACTTTTCTTTAACTATAGGCATTTGCGTGTCAGAAAAAGTATGGTAATTTAATTTCCGAAACACGACATTTGTAGCGTTAAATTTTCTTCCTTTTTTACGCAAAAGCGAATACGAACGTTACCTTGGGTGCCATCTTTTCCTGCGGCTCCTGTAAGACCTGCCACGCCCCTTTCACCTTTGACCCCCTGTGGTCCGGGGAGTCCTGTAGCTCCAGTAGCGCCATCTATGCCGTTGAATCCTCGAGGGCCGGGTTCACCTGTAATACATGGAAGCTAGTTGTATCATAGCTAAATTTTCTGCGTGAAAGGCTGTGAGAGAAAAATATTCTCTTGGTTCTGCCAACATTTACCAGTGTAATGTACCGTACCAAATTCAAATTGCAACATGCATGTCACGCAGAAAGGGCTTAGAAATTAAAATACAGTTGAAATAGTGGCCAAAATGTTCTTCAAGAAAGTTGAATCCTAGTCAATCCCAATTTAGCAATAGAAATTTAATGAAGACTTAAATATATTTCAACTGCACGCGAAAATACACATTAAAGGATTTATATAAAAAGAAAGACGTCCTTCAGTAGTCCTAATGCTTCATGTACCTTTATTGGTCCCTGGTTCTCCCTTGGGACCTTGCAACCCCGTAGGTCCCGCCACACCCTGAAGACCCCTGGGTCCTACGCTCCCCGCGGGTCCCGTGACACCAGTATTGCCACGTGCTCCCTGGATACCCTGAAGACCCTGGGGTCCCGTCGGCCCAACACCGCCAGCGGCACCAGTTGCCCCTACAGGTCCTTGTGGACCAACGTTGCCCCTGTCGCCCTTTGGACCGGACCCACCGGCAGCACCGACAGCTCCTGGTTCTCCCTTTGTCCCAGAAGAACCTACTTCTCCCTTTGCGCCTTAAATCAGAAAAATATCCGAATCAGATATGTGATTGTATACAGTTCTGTCATGTTATGACAACTGTTGCCTCTCTCTCCCTCTCTCTCTCTCTCTCTCTCTCTCTCTCTCTCTCTGGTCTACATTTGTAATCACTTGCTTTGTCGTTGAATTGGGCACTTGATTATTTAACACAAACCGGATTCTAGGGGAAATCAGATTCTACGGTAACACAATATAACGGATACCTGTGGGTCCTGTCAATCCTTGAAGGCCTTGCTCTCCCTTCTGTCCAGCAGCACCGGTGACACCAGCCCGTCCATCATTACCCTGCAGGCCGGGGCTTCCTTGTTGACCAACGTCTCCCTTCTCCCCTTTGACTCCCTGTATGCCGTTAGCACCTTGTATACCTTGTACACCAGTCTCTCCCTTGGAACCTTTTTGGCCTTGGCTTCCTGTAGGCAAAAAGAGATAATGTAGTCAGTGTCTAATTGTATTAATTTCCAAATTGTCAGTGCATAAGCAAAGCGTGGGGGCGCGGGACTAAGGGGGCTGCATGCCCTAAATATTTTCTCCATTAAGTCGCCTGTTATTTACAAGTTAATGTACTCACCGGTGTTTCCTGGGAGTCCCTGGGGTCCCATGGGGCCAGCTGCCCCAACCAGACCAGTTGGCCCTGTCTGCCCTACCCCGGTCGGGCCTGGTGGACCCATTTGTCCGGTAGGTCCTTGGATGCCAGGATTACCAGCTGCACCTGTAGTGATACAATTTTTCAAAGTAAAACCAAAAGCGATTGTAATAATTTATACTCTTTTGACAGCTGGTTCCAGTGCAGTTTACAGCAATTGACATGAGGCGTTTATAAGGTTCCAGTATTCTATTGTATAGAGGTTCTTTGCTTCATATGGTTGAATTTTTATCTACACGTCTTAAGACAATACAACGAACCCCTTATCTACAGAGAAAAGATGTGTTCACACCGTACCTTGTGGTCCCACTACTCCCTGTGCTCCTTTGTCCCCCTTAGCACCCACTGGACCTTGAGACCCCACTGGACCAACTGGACCCATAGCTCCCTGTTGCCCAACCTCTCCCTTCTGTCCTGGGCCTCCCGCTGGACCCTGTGGCCCTGCTGGTCCTTGCAATCCTTGAATACCTTGTGGTCCTGAAAAGGGCACGCTTAGCTACACAACAGAATTGATTTTTATATGCGGCATATACCAATATAAAAATTAATTACCGTCCCAGTATACAAGTACACATTTGGACTTGCACTACACACAGTCCTCTGACAACAGCTTGAAAATCGTTGTCTGCGATTAACATATGTAACTTGAAGAGCTTCCATTACCCATCAAAATGCAAGGTGTTTTCCAATGACTTTGACAGGCCAACAACAATAACACGATTTCTTTTTATCAAATCCTTGTGAAAGACATTATGAAATACATATTTACCTTTATAAAAACCTTGTGCTAAAACTTTCATATGAAAAGAAAATTTACCTCAAGATTTTTAATTTTTAAAAGTGTTCAAATTCTGCTTCAGTACGGGATCTCATGTATATATCTCTATCTTGATACATACCTGGGTTTCCTTGAGGACCCATAGGCCCTGTTATTCCGGGTGAACCGGGGTCACCTTTTACTCCCTGGACACCCTGTGGACCCTGGGGGCCAACCGACCCTGGGGTCCCCTGGGGACCCCTGATACCCTGAGGACCCTCAGCGCCTAATTTCATCGATACGAAAAAGGTTATTGACATTTAGAAATATATCGAAATCCGTTTTATATACCTTTACTGTTTGCTTCGGAGGAAACAGAACTTATATTACACGTCTTAATTTTTCATATTTCAGACAATGTGACACAAAATTTCTCTTACAAAATAAATGAATATGTATGAAACGACATGAAATGAAAATTATGACAATGACGAAAAAGATAATAAAAATGACAGCTTGAATTTTGACCTATTCAAACTACGCCAAAAATCACACCATACCCTTTTGTCCGGCTGGTCCAGTAGGTCCAGCTGCTCCGGGGGAGCCTTTAGGTCCTGTAGGTCCACTTACATTCAATACCAGCGTCCCAGGATTAACTGAAAAAAAATGAAAAACCTTAGGTCCAGTAACAATAACGAATTTCCAAGGATTAACTGAAATAATGACAAAAGTGCTAGTATCTTACAGTGAGTGCATTACAATCTCAACTACAGCAATCCAAGCAGGTATATGAAGGTGATTGAATTGTGGTGAGGTATGCGAAAAATATGGATACGGTCATAAATCACGTTAAAAACATGGCGTATTTACAAGACTACTCCTGTACATACCAGGTGGCCGATTTTGCATTACAAATTACGGCTTTGCCTAAGAAAAATCCGCTGAACGAAGCAAACGTTAAGAAGAACAAGCGAGGCAGAAAAGGTCCGCCCACACGTAAAAACCTAGTGTTCACCCACCGCAAATGCTCATAAGCAAATATTCCTCACACACCTCAGTTTACAATGAATACTTCATCCACGCCACTGATAAGTACCCTGCAAATACCTTGTCCACCCTTACAGCTTTAGCAGATTAACAACTCCGGATTAAGGACCCAAGGTGTCCTAAGCCGTCCCAGCATAATAATAATCCCATACTGGAACAGGTAACTTGTGGCCAGCATGCTTTACACATTAACCAATCCCGTTTTCTATTTCTTTTACTTTTTTCTCTTACTTTAACTACTTTTTTGTATTATACTCTCTGTCATCCAATTATTTTTTTTTTCTCAAATTTTGTCAAACTTTTCCCCTTTTATTTTTATGTGTTATTTACTCTTGCAGCTTGATGCCCCCTCAATCATGGTGCTCCAAGTACGAGTTAAATCTGCCTATACCCCATGCAGCACATAAAGCAATCCTTCCAGATAACAGCATCGACACTTGCACCCACCCATTATTGAGCTAGCTGTTTCAATCTTGGGGTGCGTTCCCAATTAAATTAATCTAGGGCGTGATTAATTGAGCCACAAATCCAGGTAGGGTGGACAGCAAAAGGTAAACATTTGAGAGAAGTTTGAATTAACATTAAATTGCGTCGTACCTGCCATTAAAGAAACCCGAGTAAATCAACAAGCATACAAGCATACAGGCAGGGTTGGGAGACCATACGGCCATTTGGTAAGGGGAATTTCAGGCGGCACTGTATGTAATTGAAATCTTCCAAATAATTGGGTATGGATTAATAAACCACCCCAGATCTTTGGGGAGTTTTCTGTAATGAATAATCAGCATAGGTGAGTTATGTACAGTACGTACCTGGAGCCTCATAACAAATAGCACCTTTCCTGAAGCAAGGGACGTTCACTCTTCCTGCTGCGGGACCTGTCTGGGTTTGAGACAACGCTGAAATAAATATATCTGTTATGATTATATTTTTCTTTGCATATATTAGTTACTGATACAAGTTTTTCACATTATTTGTATTCTTTTTATTTAATGAACTTTTTTTAATTAATTTCCGTTTCTTTTTTCATTATTCGCTTTGTCATTGATTTGATATTAATCGTAGTGTAGAGAACCGATAAGCAATTATTTAAGGAAGCCGTGCTCTTTAAACATCATCACTGTCATCATCATCTTCATCATTATACATGTATGTGTGTTTGTACGAGATAGTGTGTGTTCGTTCGTGTGCGTGCGCGCATGTTTGTTTGTGTGGATTGAATTAATTCAGTTACTAGAAACAAAACTAACCGATTGGAAACATGAGTTAGTATAAACAAAAGTTATAAAGCAATTTTTCCTTTACCGTCGGCTTTTTTTTCCAAGTCACATGTACACAATTTTATTTAGTGGGTGAGGCAACGCTACGTTTTCCAAAATCACTCTCTCATTTGTCATTGATAAAACATAAGCTCACTTTCCAAGACCCTAATTTCTTACAATATGATATTATTACACGAATGGTAAAGGCTTACCTGACTGAAGGACTATTGCAATCAATAAGACAGCTAAAGTAGTCACAGTGAAATATGTCTCCATTTTAGGTGTAGATTGCAAGCTTCGTTCCTTTGTATTTCTCCACAATTACCTGCTAGAAACCGCGATCCAACCAAAAATTAAATGAATAAATAAATAAATAAAATAAGTTTTAAAAAATTAAAAAATGACGCGGAAGAAAAGAAAGACTGAAGATCAATATTCATACACAATCTTGACTACAACGAAGTGATAAACATGCGTCATACGATAGGTGACTTTTTGTCGTGCATTTTCTGAACTTTATATCGCAAACGTATCTTTGAGATGATGTAGTCTCTTGTAAACAAACTAACCACGATGAAAATACCTTTATACTATTCGAAACATTTTTGCGATATTAGTTCCAACGTTTAAGAGTTCGTATAACATGTATAAAGACGGTAATATTGCATTCAACAAACCTCATCTGCTTCTTCTCTGGCAAACTGTGAAGCCGAGGGACCGACACCCAGAAAGGCACATCAATATGCATACTTGCGTACGATTGGGCTGGAGGGTAATCCTTTTGCTCGCCCAAGCAAACAGGTAGAGTAAATAGTCCAGCCAACGTGAGGCCATTGTGCATCAGATAGGGGGTGGGGGCACTTAGTTACTGCGAAGAGCCCGTGGCACGTAGCTCGGGTGTTTGAAACTCGCTTTTCTAAACGTAAAAATACATTTTGTTGTAGTCAGTTCTCGTTTCTATATTGATATATGTATTATGGATTATATCTTTTCAGAAACAGGCCATATGTACAGCCACATGTCCGCAGTACTCAGTAAGTTAAATATTATGTTGAGTGCGTTCAATTTTGGTTGAGACTATAAACTATACCAAAAAATTATTACACATATGTATGCAAAGCATACATTTAATGTGTTAAACATATTGCATGAATGTTGGTCTAGGCGAATCACTTGGGCTACTCTTACTAAAAATTTGTTTTTCAAATGAAGTCTGTAGGTGTCCCCGAAGGTTTTATCAGTTTGTTCAAACAAGGGATTTCTGTGCTTTGTGGGAGTGGCATGAAACAATAAGCACTATTGACAAGATACGCAGTATATGTATGTGTCACCTGCTAATCCTGAAAGGTATCTTTCATGATGTTTATGGCTTCTGACGAAACACACTGGGGCAATTAAAAACTAACAAATATTCATAATTTTGCAACTGGGCGTTTTGTCGGTTTTCCCCCAGATCCCCACAATTATACTGACAGCCATTCTGTCAAACAGACAATAATGTTCCTGAATGGGACATTTATATATATATATATATATATATATATATATATATATATATATATATATATATATATATATATATTCAGGAAATATTTGATATGAAACATAGACTTTTTTTGTGTGTCACTTGATGATGTCGAGCATTTCCCCATGCATTGCCAAAACGGAGAAAAGAACACATAGCCTGCAATACTTTTAAAAGATGTCCTCTGACGCCCCTTCCCATTAATACATTTCACAACCGTTTGTGCTGGACTCTGCATGCAGTTTTAAGTTTAGTTGCACTCAGTTTTTTTTTTCAAATCATTTTACTTCTGACAAGGTGCCTTTTTTTTTACTTCGATCTTTTTTTTGTACCCGCATGTGTTAAAGTAGCTATCACATTTTCACTGCAGCATCTAAATAATTACCTACCTTATTGTCAAACTTTCAAAGAGGAATAACACCAACTTAACAAAATTGTTATTAATAAATATCAGTTTAATACAATATGATAATTAATCTCAATAACACATGAATGCCGTTGGAAAAAAGTTAAATATACCTAAAAGATTAAAATATTACAGTTTTAATGGAACTTCTTATTACTGAAATCTATATACAGTATACCACTGTTTTTGTAATCTCTCATACTACTTACATGTTCCATTTTCCGAGTGAATTTATTACGTAGATATAAATAAATGACGAATGCAAAATTAGATAAACCACTACAAATTTTTTACACTAGAATACTAACGCAACGTGACTGAAAAAACATTAACAGACGTTAAAATTGAACCATTCATACGTTTTAATATTAAAATATTTGCGTACAACGGACGGAATGCCTTTTGCTTAGGTGAGTGTTCTGCAGGGCGTTTCAGTCAGTAATAAAACCTTCATAAGTCACAATTACTGAAGGCCAGTATTTTGTACATCATAGGAATATCATGACGTCATGCCTGTTGTAGTGTATGACGTCAGTACTCAGGAACCATACGTGACGTTGACCCGCCCATCGTGGTTGTACTGTAGGCTGGAATGTCATCAAATGCGTACTCCGCGGATTTTCCGGTCGTGTCGGGCCTTCGCTGCTTGAGACACATCGCAAAGCTGCCCAAGACGTGGAGTATTACTGCGCCAGTGACGAGAGCAATCCAAATCGTTAACACATCTGTCTCGAGGCCAATGCCATTCTGTTTCAAGGTACTAGATACGCCTAGAAATTAAAAATGTTGCCGTTTTAAGGGAGATTCTTTCTTTATTATAGAAAACAAATTAAGACAAAAAAATCTGTACAAATAAATTGAAATACAGCAGTTTAAACATCCCCTATGACACAAGTAACAAGCGTCATCTTATATTACGCTAGCTGCACGCTAGCTAGTAATAAAAACCAAGACTTCGATTTCTACGCACAATTGCCATCCGAGAGAGCTACTGACTGTTTTGTCTGGAAAAATTAACATAACGTTAAAATCTAAGTTGAAATACTCACTTGTCTCTGTAGGGTCAGCGCTACCGGACTGAGCACCTGTGACAGAGGCTATGGCGTTTTCTTGGAAACACCGGTAACTTCCGTACGTGTTGATACAAGTCGCTCCACTCGGACACACTTTACTGAGTGTGGCGTTCTCACACTCGTCAACATCTAGAAAAATTAGATTTTTATGATCGTTTTCTTTATGACAACGGTGCCGTGTGATATTATCTACAGGTAAGAAGCTTTTAAATTCAGAGTTTATTTACAAGCAAAATTCTGGTTTTTTAAGGCATGATTTAAACAATAGTGAATACTGCAACAACGTGCACGAGAAAGCCATTGTGTTTGTTGGGCAAATAATTGCTTGTGCTTTTCTCTATTTTAGTAGCATTCTTACCGACACACGTGTGCATGTCCGGACCGAGGCGGAATCCAGGTACGCATGAGCAGTAGTAACTTCCGTCTGTGTCTGTGCACTTCTGGTGACAGCCACCGTTTGCTACTGAACACTCATCGAAGTCTGAAACAAAAAGAAAAAATGTTGTAACGGAAGATAACGAAAATTCCACAATATTCAACTTTAACACATCTCAATGTACAGTCAATTATTGTCCCAAGGTGCAGCATATATTCAAGTCCGTAGTTTTAGGTATCTTTTAACAGATGTCCATGTTACCAAAAAATCTACGAGTACATGCTAATATAAACACTTAGCATAACATGATATTGCCACAGATATTGTGAAGAGTTCAATACTTACTTATACAGTCTGTGCCATTGATAGGTATCATCTTTGTGCCAATATTACAGATACATTGATACCCAGCGTCTAGTGTCTCACGGCAGACGATGTTATCAACTGAAAAAAAATTTTAGAAACAATTTAAGGGTTTGTAGAACACAATTTTCTCAATGGCTTTTGATATGATATGATATACCTTGGTGGTAAAGACAGGTTTGCTGTAAATTTCTAGGATTTTTATTTTAATGTTATTTTTTTAAAATATTTTATGATATTTCTTTTTTTAAATTGCGGTTTAAAGTTCCAAAGCGAATTGTAGGTCTTTGTATTCTTCAAACAGTATGACCTACTTGTGCATCCGGGAATCATTAGCGGTTCCAGCTTGTATCCTGCCTTGCACATACAGCAGTATCCGTCGTACGTATCCACACAGATCTGAGAGCAGTTGCCGTTGTTGTCCTCACACTCGTTGGTGGCTATATGAAAATTATATCATTAAAGAGAAATGAAAATTAATCTGTGAAGATATTTTTGTTTTGTTGCTTATCATCGTCAATTGGTTTGTTAATTTGCTGACACATCCACAGCCTTTTGACTGGATGCAGGTAAGAATGAAAAAGAACTGCTGGGAGAAGCAAAAAAAAAAAAACAAAAAAAACGTAATACATACAGTAGGACACATGTATAAAAACTATGCTGTTTTGACTCATTTAGCTCGTTAGACTATTCTGTGTTTTGGGAGGGAGTAGCGATTGAAAGTGATGTCTCCCTAGCTAAGGGGAAAGCACGTGCCCGAAGTGCGCCCCTCCCCCCGATCCACCAAAGCATATCATGGTGGTTCTTATTGTATTTTCCCATTGTTACACTTACCAAATGGCGATGCGGGGCCCGGTGGACCAGGAGGTCCTGGGGGTCCTCCTGGAGGTCCTGGTGGCCCTTGGGGGCCCATGGGTCCCACCAGGCCGCTGAGACCCTGGGGGCCAGTTTGCCCCGTAGCACCAGTAGCGCCGGTTGGTCCAGTTTGCCCGGTTTGTCCAGTGCTACCGGTCGCACCTGTAAATCCAATGGGTCCTGCAAAATTAAAAAAGTGTGGGTTAAGTCATATTTTTGCAAATTATGATTTGCAAGAATCAAATATTCCAAACTTGTAGCCTGTGAATAATCTTGAACGTGACTAACAAAAAGCTTCCACCTTGTAATAGTAATTTCTTGTTGAAAAATTCCAAATATAAATATTTTTCCATTGTTTGAATTGTAATATTTTACTTCGCAGTATTTCGTATTAAAATGATTTGACAAACAAAACTGGTAAAGAAGAATGTGTGATCGAGTTAATACCCAATGGTCCTGTCTGGCCTGTTACGCCGGTAGCGCCCCTAGTGCCTGTATCACCCTTTATTCCCTGAGGTCCTGGAAACGCATGGATGTAATTACAAAAACATTTCCGTTGCACTTAGCAATGATATTATTGCTGTCCAAACAGTTATATACTCTAGGAAAATGTACAAACTACACGATAAAATATTAAATATCTCTGGTAGGTTACGTATGTGAGCTTTGAACTGAACATTGATTTTCATCAATGCCTAAGAATTTTTAGATACCATATTACATAAGGACGCGCTCTAATGAATTATGATTATGTATGAAAATAAATTACCAATCTCTCCTTTTGGTCCTTGCGCACCAACGGTCCCTGCTGGGCCAGTCAAACCTCGTGAACCTGTTGGACCTAAAAGAATGAAAACAAAGATTTAGAAATCATTATTCAGAAAACTGTCAGCATGACAAAAATACTTTCAAACATTCATGGTTCATTATGAAATATTCCTGAATATCGCATTTCCGAACAAAGTGGCAATCTCATTAAGGAAACTCAACATGGGTATAGCGTTTAGGTTTCTTCTCCTTTTATTCAAAAGCTAAGACGACGTTACCTCGGGTGCCATCTTTTCCTGCGGCTCCTGTAGGACCTGCCACGCCTCTTTCACCTTTGACCCCCTGTGGTCCGGGGAGACCTGTAGCTCCAGTAGCGCCATCTATGCCGTTAAACCCTCGAGGGCCGGGTTCGCCTGTAATAGAGACGTATAGATGTATTCTAACAGTCTTGAACGTTTTGCGGTCAGTCAAAAAACTATCACGAAAATTATAAACATATCTTAAGCACATATCTGACAAGATAAAATGTCCAAAATTAAAGTTGCCTGGTGAAAGCCACCCTACTAGACCAATAGCTAAAATAGACAAAGTAACGAAAAAGTCATTCATTTATACTACTAAAGTAAGACATCGGTGTAATAGAGCTAGCAAAAAGAAAACAGGAATAAATGTCTTAGGTGCGCCTACCCTTATTGGTCCCTGGTTCTCCCTTGGGACCTTGCAATCCCGTAGGTCCCGCCACACCCTGAAGACCCCTGGGTCCTACGCTCCCCGCGGGTCCCATGATCCCAGTATCGCCACGTGCTCCCTGGATACCCTGAAGACCCTGGGGTCCCGTCGGCCCAACACCACCAGCGACGCCAGTTGCCCCTACAGGTCCTTGGGGACCAACGTTGCCAATGCTGCCCTTTGGACCCGGTCCACCGACAGGGCCAACTTCACCTTTAGGACCCTGTGGTCCTTGTCGACCAACTCCTGTCAAACCTTGCGCGCCTTTGGTACCCGGTGGACCAGGGATGCCTTGAGGGCCAGTAGCTCCTGTGGCTCCGTCAAGACCTACGACCATATTAAATGTGATTAAACCGTGAGTTGATTGAAACATATATTTTGCTCGCTAAATGTTTTTGCTGCATGCCTGACGGGAGCAATAATAAAGGTTTTTGTCAAAGGACGGCTATGCTAAATTAACAAATAACAAATTGAAAACCGGAGTAGGACTTTCGGGTGTTGCCGTTTAGGTGTACATATTGTATATAACAAATCCTAAATGCCATTTAAGTGGGCACCTACTGATTAACCTTGAGTCATAGTAGATGAAATAAATTTGAAAGTTTCGGTGCAAAATATTTGTAGAACAAAGTGCTTGTGCATTTGTCAACCCCTTCATCAACATTACCATTAATTCCTGCAGCACCAGTCAATCCCCTTGGCCCCGTGACTCCAGGCAGACCTTGAGCGCCATTAATCCCGTTGAATCCACGTGGTCCAGTAGGACCAACCAGACCCTGCGGTCCCGCTGCCCCCTGTGGACCAATACTACCTGGAATTGTACCGTCATGTGATGATGAATAAGTGCCTGTCGGATCTTAATAATTTTTCCGAAACTTTGTTGGTGTATAGGCTTAACCAAATTAAACTTCAGCGCCGGTAAGCATACTTCTATCTTACCAAAAGAAAAAATATCCACACATAGATTCAGGCCAATTTATTCTATAAAGCACAATAATATGTAAGAACCTTGTCTAGAAGGAAACAAATTAGATATGAATTTGGTTCTCCGTCTACTTGTAAAATGCACACGACGATAATAATGCTTAAATAGTAGCACTCTCTCCATAGCTAACTAAATGGATGGATAGATGCACGGATGACGACCGCTAACCGACTGCTTTTATAAATATTTAAAAGAAAAACATACCTGCAGGCCCTACATCACCCTTAGGTCCAGCTGCACCAGTTTGTCCAGTCGGGCCTTGCAGACCAGTGGCTCCTGGGAGACCCTGAATACCCTGTGCTCCGTTCGCACCATCAAACCCATTGGCACCTGGGGCACCTTTGTACGACAACCAAGGATATTAATGATTTTAACACATGGGTGGTTTTCGCCCCTAAAAGTCTTGGAGGGTTTTTTATTCAACAACACCAAATTGCGATACCCATTACGAATGTGCATGCAAATACAAATACATGTTTCTATTGCAACCTATGCACCCGCATGTACTGCTGAAAATGTACAGATTGACAGGTAACTACACAAGAAGACGACAGTAAGAATAATATCTCTTAATTACCTTTCAGCCCGGCCACACCCTGTGGTCCCTGGGGCCCAGTTGGTCCTGGTAGCCCCTGGACCCCGGTGGGCCCTGTAGCCCCCACCGAACCCTTGGGTCCGACACTTCCGACAGCACCCTGTGGACCCTGGGCACCAACTGCACCCTGCGCTCCTTGGTTACCCTTGGCGCCCTGTGGACCGACTGATCCTGTGGCTCCGGTAGCACCTGTTAGAACAAACGCCAGATATGTACACGTGTGACATAAATGTCATCAATCACGCTTACATATGACATAAGTCTATTGTCACTTCCTGGAAATCTCCGTAATACGTCTTATTGCTTAAGTGTGTCTGCATAGATCTATCATTTATACCCAAAATATCTCATTGATGAATATGATAAACTGACAGGTATGTGTATATTGTACCAAGGATCTTAATCGTACTGTACAATTTAACTGATGTGTTGTCTTACCGGTCGCCCCGTTAAACCCCCTAACTCCGGCCACACCCTGTTCTCCCTTGGCACCCTGTGGACCCACAGCTCCTTTGGCACCCACTATTCCCTGCGGGCCCACTGGGCCAACAGGTCCTGTAGGTCCTGTAGACCCGATTCCAGTTGGTCCTACGTCTCCCTTTGGTCCGGCAACACCCTGAAGACCCTGGGGTCCGGTGGCTCCAGTTGCTCCTGCGGCCCCGTTGATACCTGTGTCAAAAATTTGCTTTATTATTTCATTAATCATTTCATTTATTTCTCATTCATTTTATATCGCTCTTTTGTGAACCGGATAACGAATTAAGTCGATGCATTTGTTTCATCATTTCATAATAAATCATATCATTCCAACTGGTGAAGGGGAAAACCACAATATTAGCTATCATACATGGTACCCTTAATTTTTAACAACTTCATTTATTGCCACATGTTTACAAACACGTACCATTAACGCCAGCGTCTCCCTTCTGCCCAGGTGCTCCTTTCTGACCTGCAGGCCCCTGTCCACCATTTATTCCATTAAAACCCCGTGGACCAGCTGGACCTGTGGCTCCTGTCGCACCAGATATCCCCTGGGGTCCGGTGGCACCTAGAAACAATTTAAAGTCGTAACCATGTACATGTAAGTGCAGACAATTTTCTGCCAAAGGACTGGATCATTTAGAAGGCATCTCTTCTGAATATTCACTATCGCGCAGGTATTTGGCAAATGCCTACTACCTTTCTTTCTACAGCTGTCATGTTTTTCTTTCACTATTATTTGTTTATCCAGACTGTGATCTGAATACAGTATGCAGTTCAAAGATTATGTAGACTTAGTGGGAAAACATTCAATCCATATCTAAACGTGGGAAACAGAGAAAGTTTAAATGACAGAGAAAGTTTAAATGAAAAAAATTACCTGTTGCTCCAACAGCTCCCTGTATCCCTTGTATACCCTGCAAGCCCGGTTCTCCTTTCTGACCATTAACTCCATTCACACCAGCAGCTCCAGTAGGTCCAACAGGCCCTTGCTGACCATTAAGACCCCTAGGACCGGACGCACCCTGTGGACCAGCGGCTCCCTGAGGCCCTGTAGGCCCCTGTGGTCCCACTAGCCCTTGCACACCTGCAGCACCCTGTTCGCCTTTTGGTCCTTGTGGACCTTGAGCACCTTGAGGACCCATTGGACCGACGCCGCCGTTGATTCCGTTGAAGCCACGGGCACCTGGTTCTCCCTTCTGACCGGGTAAACCACGCCCTGGAGCCCCTACGTCTCCCTTTGCTCCTGCTGGACCTACAAGTCCCTGAAGACCCTGTGGACCAGCTGCTCCATTGGTGCCATCAGTGCCTAGAATGATACAGTTATATTATGTTATCAAGGTTGATTGAAACTAATTTGCTTATTAGGAGCTGATCTAAACTGATCATTCAAGATACACGGGAGATGGACAAAGACTCTAATAAGATTTTTCACATCATATTTAGTTTGAATACTTAAAAACAGAAAAATTTAAATCATAACATTCAGCACTTCTTATGTTGAGTCAAAAATGCAAGCTCTCAAGCTCAAAGAACCGGAGTCACTGAAATTATTCTCCAATCTCCAGGATAGATGGGATAACTTACCATCTCTTCCTGCAGGACCAGCAGGTCCTGTTGGTCCGGTATCTCCCTGTGCTCCGGGACCACCGTTGATGCCATTAAATCCTCTGGGTCCTGTGGCACCGACAGCTCCAGTTGGGCCCGTAGCGCCAACAGCTCCAGCTGGACCTGATGATGGAAAAGAGATGTTTTATTTTTTGGTTGTAGAAAACAGAAATACTATAAAATCGTTGGTGGATAAGACCTACTTTTTAAAGCTGTCTTTGAAGGCTTTGGATGCTTGAAAATGTTAATTTACAGCATAATTAACATTGCATACTTGATAACACTTTAACTATTAAAATAGTTATTATTTGTGAAGGGGAGATGTCACTCTGTTTAGAAATAACTGGATCAAGCATTCCTTACAGGCAACAGTGAGAAGCATTCTTAGCTTAAAGAAAAAATACCTATAGATCCATCTTGTCCTCTTGGTCCCACGGACCCTGGTTCTCCCTTTATACCTTGAGGGCCTACTGGTCCCGTGGCACCCGCCGAACCCACATTTCCAGGCAGACCTTGAATTCCCTTCGGACCTATGGGTCCTTGTGATCCATTAGCTCCTGCGGGACCTGTAGCTCCAGCGGGTCCAACTGAACCCTGTGGTCCAACACTCCCACGCTCCCCTTTCAGTCCTTGTAATCCTTGAAGTCCTTGTGGTCCGGTCGGACCGGCGGCGCCGTTCAAACCTGCTGGCCCTTGAGGTCCAACTGGGCCTGTTTGACCTACAGAACCGAACCCCGTGGCACCCCGTTCACCCTTGGGACCCTGAGGCCCAGCCACGCCCTGCTGGCCTGTGATTCCCTGGGGACCTGTAGGTCCTGTGGAGCCATCTTTGCCAGCTGGCCCACTTGGGCCTACCTGCCCTTGGGGGCCAACACTCCCCTGCGGTCCCACATCACCTTTAGGTCCTACAGGACCTGCTGGGCCCTGTAGACCTGTAGGGCCTTGTGGACCTGAAGTATAATGGTTGCTAAATGTATGCAATCGTACAATGGTACATCTATTTTCTATAAAGCTACGCACGTGACAAATGGTATCCTTGATATTCGATATATGATGTCACATGTAGTATGGGAAAAGATGGAAAACGTTTAATCACTTTTTTTATACTTTCTAAAAAGATGGAAATAATCTACATTGTACCGATATGCAAGGGCCTTAACCAGTGTTCTGACTCTGTATTTGAATCACAATTCTGTCAGTTCAAACAAAAGTAAAACTTGTTATAACCTGTCAACACGCTTCTAAGGGTGTCATACTCTTGCACCGAGTTTCTAATAGATTATTCATCATACAGTTAATATAGTAGTAGCCGTTGCCCAGAAGCAAGAAACGACTTTCACCTTGTAAACCCTGCGCTCCTGGTGCGCCCTGTACACCCTGTGGACCCTTGGGTCCTGTGTCACCTGTTACATTCACGACTAGGACCTCTTTGATTCCGGGGTTTACTGAAACCGAAAGGAAGTATCAAAACATATAGCACTGAATTATTTCAACAAATGAATAAATATGCTACTGTCAAATAAAGATAATTTAATCCCTAGGTCAGCGATTTATTTAACTGGTATTTTAACGTAATAATTTAAAATTATAAATAATTATATTGACATACAGATACATGATAAATTACATGATTTCATAATGATAAAAAACTGACATTTCATTAAAATTTCTCTAGTGTCGATACATTTATTTGCAAAAAATGACAGTTCATCCTATTCAGATATCTAAGATTACGTAATTGAAACCCACTTGCACTTTCGTAACAAATGGCTCCTTTCTTGAAACACGGCGCGTACTTCTGGCCGATCTGTGGTAAATTTGTGCTCTGAGGCAAAGCTGAAAAAAATAGAGTAACGCAATTAAACACAAGGTTTGAATCAACTTTTTTTTCCTTGAATAATTCTATATGTACTTAGTGACTCGTACAGTGGAGAAAGGCCGTGATGATATAAGTTTAAAGTTTTTGTAAAAATCTTAAACACCAAATATGAAATATATGACGTCATAACTATCATATGGAAGAATGATTCAATGCGTGTGCCTTATGGATTATTAGACCTACTTTAGTTGGCGTATTTATCTAAAAGATCACATTGATAAGATTATATTTACGCACGAAATATCCATACCGAAAATTTGCTATTTCTAAGAGAGAAAGACTGATGCTTCGATTCCCAAGAAAGGCATATTATTTAGCATACAACTACATGTATATATGTATTTCAATACATTTAAATGAAAACCAGAGGAAAGGTCATTTTTGTTTGTGAATCAATCCCATGGTCAAAGTGAGCTGATAAGACCGATCTGCCAGTGATTGTTAGAGACACTACAAAGCTGAGAGTTTACCCGGGGTTGGCATGCGTGCAACTGATAACAGATGACAAGCCCTTACACAGTGGTACACGCCTTGTACGAGTAAAGAGTAAACGGCTCAAAGCATTAGCTTATACTAACACACTGCTATATTCTAATGTGAAAGTCATCTCTACTGGATAGTTTCCTAACATAAGACGTGCATCTTATTACAATGCAAGAAAATATGGTGTTTAGGTTGTTTCTGTTGTTATTTCAAAGGAAACAGATTTCTGTTGTACCTTATTTCCTAATTTGAATTAAAAAAATCAGCAAGAGTTTGTAATTCATATATGCCTCCGACCTTCATGTATCTGACTTTGAATCTAAATTTTAAACTAAACACATTAAAAAGATAATTTACTGAGTTAAAGCTATGACCTATCAAACTTGTTTTATCTGTCCTATGTTTAAGTTACATGGTGAGTTGTAAGATTTTGATATGCCTCATCTAAATTGTAATATAAGTCCAAGAAGTATATAGAAACAAGTAAAGGAAAATGTTCAAATTACATTACGGGTTTTAAAACTTAATCATTTTCATCGTAACCGGAGATAAAATCAAATATCTTTTTTTTAAATTATGATTAAGATTTCCCAGATAAAACTTACCTATCTGTAAACAGTAAAGAGAGAGAATGAGTATTCTTGCAAAGTACCCCGTCATTGTAAGCTGAGTAATATTACTTTCATATGTCCACCTGTATTTCTGAAAATTAATGAATTTACCTGTATAATAGGATTGTAATAATTAACCTGATACTATTTTGCTCTGTCGATATTAATCATTACCAAGAGAAATATCAGTTGACCACGCCCTTTTCTCATAAGTATAACCAAATTATACTGATCAAAAACAAAGATATAAAACAAAAAATATTTCAAGGAGAATATCTACAAACTCCATGCGATCAATCTCAACGGAATATGCTCCAGCAAACCCCCTCATTTAACGTGAATTGTCCATTTTGTCGTACACAAAACATGTAGGTCCAAAACAATTCAAATATTTTTTTAAAATTTAATCATTAACTCAATCGGCGACAAAAATGATGCATATAGGGGCCTACTGTAGTTCAAACGTCATGGAAAAGAGAAAGCAAAACAGGAAAAAGAACATCGCTGACCACTTGCTTTTATATCATATCAATATATATACGTACTTACGTTCTGTGACAGCTGCCCGGTCCTCTAATTGCCTACTGGTCACAGCTCTGGTTTTCTGTGCCATATAAAGCGTTTCCCTGCCACTGACCGTCAAGAGATGGTATGTGAAGAGCACGGCTTAAGATAAAACAAGAATCAACAGCAATCTATGCGCCGCCCGCGAATCAAATACTGATTCACTCCTATACTCTTCGGGGATGGTTCAAGTGCACTGGGCAAGGGTTATCTTTTTTGTTAGGCATTTTTATGGCTTGTTTTATAGCATCATTCATTTCTTTGCTTTTCTTTTTATCATTATCATATTATCATTCGCCTATCAACAGCGATAAGATAAACGCCGAGTGTGAATTGTGTTTTCGTGTTAATGTGATCAATATATCATTTTAAGATTATATTTTTGCAACTGTTATTTGAAATTGTAGTGTTAAAAAAAAAGCATTAAAGTGTAAACTGGTGTTGGGGAGTGCAGCATTTTTTCTTCTTGGGCGCCTTCTTGGAGTATGTCATACTTGCCCTCACATTTACTGTCGTTTACACGCATCAATGAACGAAAGCTCAATTTTACCATAATAAATAGATTTTTGTGCCGCACACCCTCTAAACGTTCAGTTTAGGGGTATACTCGTAGGCCTACATGTACATGCATATAAATATATCTACAGATATACAGAAATTTCATATGAATGATCACAGAAGACTTAAATATTTAGTGATCATTTCAATTACATTTACTTATTCCGACACGCATATGGAAACAAAGCACTACACAAAGTACGTAACGCATAGAACCGCGCGTGAAAACATTGATAAGATAGCAATGTCCTTAACACATCCACATTCCGTTATCAGTGGGTATCGGCGTAAATTGATGCCACGTTCACATCGGGACAAGCTTAGACTGGGGTGGGTTTACTGACGTCACAATGGAATGGGTGGGATGACGTCAAAATTAGACTGGAATTGCTTTAACGACGTCAAAAATTGACTGCAATGGGTAAATGACGTCAAAAGTAGACCGGAAGATATTTGTGAAAATTAGACTGGAATTAAATCAGTGACGTCAAAATTAGAATGTAAATTTAACTAATTTAACAGACGACTGCATGTTACAGGGGCTCTTCATGTGATTCCTGATGAAACTTATTTCTTAACAGCACGGCATGCCATCTGGGCAGTGGGTGACACCTTTTATTTTTTCTGGTCTAAATAATCCTGGCTTGGACATGCCTCTTATTGCACGCTGTTGTACGTTCTGTTATTTGTTATTATATATTACTGTACGTCACTTTCATCATGATGTCAGTCTCATGTTGCTCCATCTTTGCCGGTCAGAAAATTGCAAGTGACATACTAGTTAACCCGATTTTGTTGCATGTGAATAGCACTTGGATTTGAAATCGCAACGAATGTATTAACACTCACAATTTTGCCTTTTTATCATTTACATTGCAGATGGAGAAGGCCATGCATTCATAATTTTTAAAACCATGTCATACTGCAGACGAAGGCAGTGACCAAGATAAGACATAAGGACGGTCAACGCTGTGTTGGCCTTATGAGTATAACCGTACAAACACAAACAATACACTGCGTAATAACTGTAATAATTAACCACAAGGAGTGTTTGTAGGAAATCATGAAATGACCCGCCCTTTAAAGTCTGTACTAACAAGCAGCTGCTGATCTTTTGACTAGATTTAACTTCAGTAAAAAATCATCAAAATTATATATCCCATGTATATACTGTATAAAATGCCAATAAGTATTTTCACCTGACACATGTATGTATGTGTATATATATATATATATATATATATATATATATATATATATATATATATATATATATATATATATATAATTAAGATATAAAATATATTTATACTTTCTTTTTGAACGCCAAGCTAGGTCAGGATGGCCGAGCGGTCTAAGGCGCCAGGGGCCGGTTTCACAAAGCAGTAGTTAGTTAGCGATCGGTAGTTAGCCTCTCGCTAGTTATAGTGCCGTTTCACGAAGCAGTCGCTAGTTCTCTCGCTCGTTATTGTCTCGTTGTTGCTTTGGATATTTAACGACTGGTCAGACCAGTCGCTAACTCTAGANTGAAACCGGCCCCAGACTCAAGGTGTAAATCTTGACTCTTCTTCGGAGATTATGAGTGTTCTGGTCCACGAATGTGGGCGTGGGTTCGAATCCCACTCCTGACATTTGTTTTTGAAATTTGATAAAATGATGGTTCTATAATGAAATAAATAAGTACACAAAAAGGACACATGTTTAAATCGTTTCAGTACATCAGAAAATAAAGTTTGATATTATGTTAAATGGTTGTTTTATCTATTTGTTTACTAACTTGATGAAACTTTCAGTTTACCCGTTCAACATGTCGGCTTTGATCAGAATTTTTACCAGCCATACTAACCATTAACATAAAATTTTATTTTAACCATAACTTTACTTCGATTAGCACTTTAATTTTGTTTTGAATCTTATTATCAATGAAGCTCATTGAAGTCAGGATGGCCGAGCGGTCTAAGGCGTCAGACTCAAGGAAACTTGACTCTCTGTTGAAGAGTTTGTGGGTGTTCTGGTCCACGAATGTGGGCGTGGGTTCAAATCCCACTCCTGACAATACTTTTCCAATTTAAGAAAACAAATTATAAAGAAGGAGACAGTTGCATCAACACACATTTTAAAGCCGTGTCGGTATGTAAATAAATAATACATTTTGGATTCAAATATATCAAACAACTGCTAAATTTCTTAATTTCTTTTTATTTTGAAGTGAAACTGATCTGATGACCCATTCTACATGTTGGTTTAGACAACCTTTTCACAAGCCATATGACAGCGTTATCGGGCTAAAAAAAAAGACGATAATTTAACTTGTCTTCAGCACTTTATTCTCTCTTCTGATCCTTCTAAGCACCAGAATAATTTAGGATGGCCGAGCAGTCTAAGGCTCCAGACTCAAGGAGAAACCTTGACTCTTTTTAAGAGTTTGTTCTGTTCCACGACTGACACTTTTTTTCTGAATTTATACATATATTTATTTTTAATCAATATATATATATTTATTTATATATTGATTAAAGGATAAATTAAGAGGTTGGAGGCATCTACCTGTACGTACGGGTATAATAGGCCGGTTCCTATTCTAAAGAAAAGATATCTTTCATTCCGTCTGCTAAATGATTGTAATTGATAGATTCTGGGAATTACTCATATTTTCTGAAACCCAAAGCCTCTGCCTTTAGGGTAAGGAAATTCGCTGTGGAGGAGGGCGGGCCGGTTCCTATTCTAAAGAAAAGATATCTTTCATTCCGTCTGCTAAATGATTATAATTGATAGATTCTGGGAATTACTCATATTTTCTGAAACCCAAAGCCTCTGCCTTTAGGGTAAGGAAATTCGCTGTGGAGGAGGGCGGAGACGAAGCGTGGGTGGAAAATGGGTGCAGCTATAGTGCAGGAGGTGGCCCATGTTGATATCTGATACCCAGCAACGTTATCGCAATCTGTTTTAGTAAAGAGTAATACAACATCTGATTAACAGAATAAATCAATGGTACAACTAAAATCAAATAGTCGTTATGCAATTGGTATCTCGCACCGGTAGGGCCTACTGTACCTGTATGTGTCAGCATGCGACTAACTTTAAGTGACCCGATGTCTGTAGATCTCTCTAAATTTATGATCTAAAAATCGAACGGAAGAGAGTTAATTTAAAAAATCAAGCCTATGTGATCGAACTCAAATCTGATCTGACCCAGGGAGGGGCAGATTGGGTTTCGATCACCCAGGCTTTGGCATTATCCCCTTCTCACTCTTAAAAGCAAATCGAAACAAAACCAAGCATTTTACTCTCCGTTTGCCCCGCTTATTATCTTTAATTTGTCCTAACTAAAGTTAGTTTTTGTGTAATTAAATAAACAATTTTACTCTTTGAACACGGCGATGCCAGTGTTGACTTGCTTAAAGAAGAAATGGCACTCGCAATCAAAATAAGGGCTCCGCCCATTCACGGACAGCTGTCCTATAGCGCCATCTATTTAAAGTTACTTGACCTAAAATTCGACCGTATCGATGACGTCACTTCCAAACAAATAGGATTATGGAGCCTTGAAATTAGACAGAAGCGGGCCAGCGAACACAGGTGATTCTTTTAATCCATTTCGCTTGTATACACCAGACGAGGAGAAATGACAACTAGGGAAAGGTAGCAGGTGCTGGGACTCCTTCCAAGTGATGCATGGCTCGCGCAGTGCCAGAGACTTTTCACAAACGCCTGGGGAAATTTGAAAGTTTCCTCAAGCGGGCACTGAAGGATGAGAAAGCGGTAGAAAGGATTCGGGCCTACGAAGCCTGCATAGTTGTATGGGAAAAGGAGAAATATGGCTTTAAATTCATGGTGCTCGGAGATGAGTGTATATATCTCACGGAAAATCCGCCTAAAACCATCCAAGAGGCCGTCCCTTTTAAAGATGTAGTTAGCGTGGAACACGTAAGTTAAAAGCATTACATACTGCAGTATAACTTCTGGGACAAATTTGGTCATAGTTGTACTAGTAATACAAATGTGTTGTACACTTTTTGGTTGTTGCACGTACTGCATAGTGTAACTTTCTTCTTGTTTTGAACATGATGTTTTAAAATTGTAAAATACCAATTCCCCGATTACGACGCACTGCTAGATTGCACCTTCCATATGCAGCACGTTGATGTGCTCCTCCAGTGGTGTGGGAGGGGGTGTTGGCGTAGGATGGTTGATTGCAGTATGCTTTACTGGCAAAATGATCATTGTGTGTTTTACCACCCCTTCCCCCAAAATTAAATAAATATATGAATTTATAAATAAATATGTAAATAAATAAAATCCCGATTCTGCCACTGTTTTGACAAATAGACTAAGATTTCTACCATGAAGTTGAGCAAATGGAAGAGCTTTTTAACATGAAACTTGAGTATATGGCAGTGAATAATACCTACCAGTATAGGTTATTACATGTATGTATACTGGTACAAGTACTTATGAATACACACTGAAGTCTTATAGAAGGGCTAAAATAACCCTGAAATGTCAGTTTTATTTTTAAGTCAGTTGCAGCTGAGTGCATGTGCTATATGCATGAAAATATAGATTTTTCTTTTCATTCCGTAATTTACTAATGCATGGTTTGCATGTTAGAACTACAACGCTCAATATAAGGTTGATCTGTACCATACGTGATGTAGAGTTAGCAGGATATTGTCCAGGGCAGGTCACATAGCCTTACAATAAAAAAATGTGGTGATCAGTGCTAAAAAGTTAGTACAGTAGCCTACTGACCACTGTCTAAGAACAGTAGCTAGTGAATGAAAATATAGATAATTTTGTAACTCCCCCCCCCTCCCCATAAAGGACCACTGTTAATACCACAAAGGGGTGTAGTTTACTAATACCTATTAAATTGAATTTGAACTTGGTTATTTAAACATCACATATTGAAATAGTGGTTATCCCTTTACCAATACAATAATTAACAGATACCTGAAGCAACACTTCACAGTGAAACTGCTCTAACTGCTCAAATCATGTATATTTGGACATCATAGACAGACAAATAACTTAACATGTAGTTTACAATTTTAAGACTTAATCAAAGGGTTGCCATTTTGCTGTATGGTAATTAAGTGACAGTCTCCAAACTATTTTCTGTTAATATCAATTATAATAACTATTGACACGAATTAGGGCCTAATGCCATCTCAGGACTTCCTGTACTGATAAATAAAAGAAATTATCAAAGGTGAACTGCACTGTTGGACAAAGACAAGACCACTTGGCTAACTGAAGTACATTGTAGGAAGATGCATAGAAATATCCACAAGAGATTAACTCATTGGTGTTTTGTACAAAGATGGTCGGTCTTTCAATTATAGTAAAGATACACTCAATCAAGACATGCATTATTTGTAACTGTATACAATTACCATGGCAGAGTACATAGTAGATGTTTATATTTAGAAATAATGTGCCACATGCAATATCGCATGTCAGCTTATTGCATGTATTTCCTTGTATACTGTGGTCTATAGATGAATTGAATTGGTCTAGCTGTTGCATAATATTTTATTGAGACAATAACCAGTGCAAAATTGAGTTAAATCAATTTTGTATTGGGAAAAATGAAGTCAGTTTATTACTGGTAAACACAAATTTCATGCATATTTTTTAGTTGGATATTGAAGGAATTGCATCACAGCAGAAGATTAGCTTGTGTTAATGTTCTTATCACATATAATAATACTGCAATCTAAATCTAATTTCCTTTTCTATATTTCAGGTGAATGATTATCCTGACTTTCTGAGTGGGGAGCAGAGACTGAATACACAGCATATATCAGTCACATTTATGACACACGAACCACTGAAGGGCAAGAGAGGAAAAAATGATAAATCCCCCCATAGCTCTATGCAGGATATCTCCCAAGGGGGCAACAATAACAATCCTCCCATTAAAACTTCACTATTTAAATCCATTTCCGATGGTTTATTCAGAAGAGCAAAGTCTCCACGAAGCGAGGAGGTACGAGAAGAGAGGTTGTCATCGTCATCTCCCGTCCAAAAGCCGACCTTCAGTACTAGTTTTGATGAGGATGTTCTAGACGCCATGAAACAAGACGATGATTCTGAAGATGAAGACAAAGAGCTTCACAGTAGTGGAGAATTACACATGTCCAAGTCCATGCCAACTATGCAATTAAAGAAACTGAAGCTAGGGAGCAATGACTTGAAAGAGCAGTTGAAAACAAATCGTGTAAATAGCCCCGTCCCTTCATCAACCCGTCCTCTCCCTGCTCTACGCAATACAGACTCTCCTGGCCCAGATGGCAATAAGAAGACAGGGCCTCTTTATGAGATTCATAATAAAGCGCCTGAAAGAAAGCGGTCATTGGAGAGTGACCGCTCTGTTCCCAGTAGAAAGAGCAGTTCAAGATCCAGTAATTCAGATACTGAGAATTTGGGGTAGGTTGAGAGAATAGAAATGGTGGGTTGGTAGGTGGGGGGGGGGGGGCAAGCAGCCGGAAGAAGTACAATAATTTATAATGAAAAATTACTCAAACACATTAATTAATCTATCTATTTACATAATTGTCTGATACCTGACATAGTTTGATTAGGCAGCAGTGAAATAATTATATAATTTCTTCTTTATGATATGATAAGAATTTTATTACTTTATTGACAATTGATTTTATTTGCTTTGCGTCTTCAAGTAGATTATTTTATTGCCACAAAAACTATATTTATTGCCACAAAAACTATATATACAGTATAATGATCTAACAAACTTTTACTTAAGCCAGCAAGGAAAGAGTATTAAAGCTGCTATAATGATGTAGATTAGTCAAACTGTAGAGAGGAGATTGGGATTAATGAGATTAATAAGCAGGTGGTTATTGCTGGATGACCGCAACAATTTGATGTAATTATTAGTACGGCACGTGCAATTAACACCAGTATGGCATCTGTCGCTTAATAAACTGCAAATGATTTCCTTTTCCTGTCTAAGATGTTGTTCCAAGAGGAGACTAACATATTTACGTTAAATTACTCCATCAATTTTGTATCCGGTATGAGATGCAGTTGGCTGTATTCTAGTACTCATACAAATGATTCAGTTACTAGTAATCACTTATGAGTAATGGAAAAATGGTGTCAATTGTCCACATGATTGATACAAGATTTTTCCATTTAAATATGAAGCAATTTTTTTCAGGGAGTAATTTTTCATTATAACTAAAGGACAAACAGTATTTACTCAGTACACAAATTAGTGATAGATTTTCAAAAAAAAAAATTAAGCTGTTGAAAAATAAATTCTGGCACAAGCCTGGATGTTTATCTACAGTACTCTAACAACCTCTTGAATATATCATAAACATTTATATATCTATGTATGTATTTATTTCTATACCAGCTTAATCCCAAAGATAGACATCTCAGATGTTGAAGATGAGGCGTTTGGTGAAAAACTTGACGAAGCCCGTGAGGCAGAGTTACACATCTATATCCTGAATCTCCATTCCCCGATGCTCATGCTGATCAAGAGTGCCTGGGAAAACCATAAAATGGTGAGAAAAAAAAAGAAATTGTTGATAGAAAATTAAATAATTTCTAAAGAAAGGAAAGGCTTTTTTGTCGCCTTTAAACAATTATTTTTAAAATTTTACCATCATAAGATTGGCAGAATTAAGATAAATTGATTGATGATGTAATCTCTTCAGTATGATTCAGGCAATTTTTAAATGAAAATAGCAAAGATGTGCAATGAAATGGCTTCGTTGGTAGTTTTTTTCTGGAGTTGGTGGTTTCAGATAGAAATTAGTTGAATCTGTCTAGACCACCCCGATTTCTTTTGCTCCCTCCTCCCAACTCATAATTATAACTTTAATTTTTCTTAAATTATTTTATTTATTTCTGTTTATTGGAATGCTTTTTTATCATTGCAGAGGGGGACTTTTCTGTTGGATGAGAATTACAGCCTGAAAACGATGCCGTCTCCCAGGCGTTCTGCTATGGACAGGTAAGCAGTGGCTGTTAATTGATGGTCAGTACTCCATTAGATATATTGTAGTTGAAAATGAATCTATAACAACAGCAAAAATATGTACTATGTAGTCAAAATGGACATTTCTATGAATCCTTTGATCCATCACTTGGGCGAATAATTTTGATCAAGTCGGTCATGATTCATTGTGGTTTTGATGTTGCGTTAGTGAATTCGTCATTGAATGATTTTAAAAATTTTTTCTTGATATTACACTTGAATAATGTGTATGGGGTCTCTCTAAAATTCAGCCACATACTAGTACTGGAATATATCAACATATATTTAGCATGTATTTTTGTACTCGAACACTTTGAGTCCCTTATTAACCCTACCAGGACTGCTGTGCCTTACAGTCCTGTCAAACCAAAGGGGAAAAAGGGAAAATAACGGCACAAGAATATAAAAAAATCTATAGGGAAATCAGTCCCATACAGTTTGGGAGTTGCAACTGCCCACACTGGAAAATTAAATCTAACTCTAACTGTATGTTAGTTTGAGATAGAAACTGTGACAAAAAGATATTGATTGCACATCCACGGAGCATAATCACCAAGTTAAATGTCAATTACCTTACCCAGTAAATTGATCATCACCCTTAGTCTCACAGTATTGTTGGGTGATTTATCTCCACCCAGGATGTGGTTTTTTATCATTGTTGGCTAATTAGGAATGCTTGGAAACCCAGGGCGGAGTTAATGGACTTCTAGTCACACACAAAGTGTGATCACACCGTTCCCATTTGCTTGGTCGTCAGCTGTAATTATCTGGGTATTTCAAGCATATTATAGCGTAATGTAATTACAGTCTGGAAATTTTTCCTATAAATGATACACGTGCATTATTAGGACCATATTAAAAACATTCTGGTAGTTGAAAAACTGTGTCAGTGCTTTAGGGTTTTAGTATGGAGTATTTCTTTCAGTATACATGGGACCATATTTTCAATGGAAAAATGATAACTGATTTAGTGTATTTAAATTATTATTATAATATTCAACTTGCAAGTTTATTTATTTAAGAATTGAATCGATTATTAACTGTTACCTAACTACAGTCTGAACAATTACTATTCAGACATGTTTTCAGAACAGGGTTTATGAGTACAATGGAAGACATATGTACTAGATATACATTAATAGTTGTACCCTCTTATATGCTGTAGCATGTACACCATCTTTCATACTCAGACGACTCATAATCACTGCTTCAAAGGTGTATTTCGTAATAGTAAGTGTTCGCTATTCATGTAAAGTCTAGCGGATAAAATGAACCAACACCTTGGGTCAACTTGCCCTGGCTTGAATGAGTACTTAATGATTCGTCATTGCAGAAGGATTGATCCTGAAAATAATGGTTCGGCGTGACACAGATTACTTTTTATTGGTTATGGTTGCTGGCCTGTGCAGTTATGTGGCACAATTAAACTGGACATTTACAAACTAGGGCATACTGGCAATAATGCAGATATTCTTTGCAATTTACTTAGACATTCGGATGTACTGTTTCAGATCATTGAAACATATCAATAGAAATTTTGTGCCATTCAACATTACTTTAGGGATAAGCTTCAAACCTTTTTGCTAAATATTTTACAAGAAGAGACCATCAGTTTCATTTGGGCAATTATGTTACATTTTTCAGTTAAATTTATAAGTCTAGTGGAGGTAAAGAAAAACTAAAAAATCCAAAATGAAATCAGGAAAAATGTTACATGCTAGTTCTAGTTTAGGTAGTTCAGCTGCATTGCAATTTTGATTTCTATATTTGATGAAATTTAGCCATTATAAAACTCTTTACTGCATATATCTATTGAAGGCCTGCATGAATAGTTTTCTTTAATCAGATTACAGTGAAGTGGTCAAAATTGATCAAGTACAATAATATATGTTGTCATATGAACATGTCTTTATCATATGGCAAACATAGTTTTATAAAATGCTAGCCTGATGGCACCTGTTTAAGTTTGATCATATGTGCAAGCCTGCTGCCAACTTGTGCATGCACAAACATCCCTAAGTAAATAGCAAACATGTTATTGCTAGTTGCCTTGTAGAAACTTGAGGATAAGTGAAGCACCATAGAGTCAACTGCTTATAATTATAGCATAGTGCCAAATAACTGTGAAACCTAGGTCTGGTTTTTAGGGGGAAAGAAAAACTTTGGGAAAATCTGTCACAAGCATAAAACAGACTGTTTATCTGCCCTGTTCAATTGTGTGGCAAGACATAGGTTTGAAAGAGCTAAAACGTTGGTTTAAACCCGCTGTTTGTAAATATTCCATTGTGCCTGTAGTTGGAGGACGGATGTTTGAATTGGCTATAGTCCCGCTGCCTGTTTTTCACACACCTGAAAGGAAGCATTGGGCTGGCTTTGCTCTGTAGTGTATTCATGTAGAAAGGCATTGGGTGTAAGTTGTGGGTCAGGAGGGAAGGGAAAGACAAGAGAAAAAAATCAATAGCTGATATATTTGCAAAGGTCAGGCCGTGTTTAGTCGGTATCGTAGGAGTGGGACTTTGTTGTGGCTGACAACAGTGTTGGAAGTTTGGATAAATCAACACGGGAAGAGCTGATTTATCGAGCTGTTAGATTACACAGATATAATTGCATACAGTGGATTATGCTGCTATGCTAGTTTTTGTGTGGGGGTTGGTTTCTGACAGAAAATTTAGTCTTTAGCTGTCAGGCTGAAATTTTTAGGCTACTTTCACACAAGACAAATTTTGTTGGTGGATTTCTTGATATTTCTTTTATTACAAATTATATATATTAACAATAAATAATATAAGAAATATTTGTAAAAATTGATAAAAATATTAATATTTTTTATTTTTATAAAAAAATAACAAATTGTTTACAATTACATGAAAAAAAAAAAAAAAAAAAAAAAAAAACAAGAAGAAAATGATGAAAGGAAATAGGCATCAGTGTATGTATTGACCAAGCACTTAGCTACAATTTTTTCATTAGGTACAGTATGCCATGTACATTAATGCCACTATAAAGCTTTTGTAATGGTTTTGGCTTTCTTTCCCTTTGCCACATGTAAATGTCAGTTCCTTGAGAAGACTGAGAAGACTTTTGACATAACATACTGCGCAGTCAATGCTTTGTACTTTGTACTGAAATACAAGTAGCCTGTTTTGCATAGATTTATTCAATCTGAGTGAAGTGCTATTGAAATTACTTAGCTGTTCGTGCGGATATTACAAAGTGAAATAGCAGAATGTTATTAAATACACTGAATTCTGCCAAGAGTGTATGTAAAACAATACGTATGATTGCCATTCTAAGTATGGTATGTGAAGTTTTTTTCTATAAAGAAAGGAATACAATTACAGTGTATTAATTTCATTGATTTCAGTTGCACTATGATATTTTGCTTTATATCATTCTATCCAACCATTATACTTCGCTGTCTATAAATACATATTGCAAATCTCTGCATCAGATTAGGCTCAGAACAGGCTCTTCATAAATCCGTTTTTGAAGTTAATGTATCATGCATGTATCATGTTATTACACCTACTGTTTATGATTATTTTAGTAACAGCACATAATGTGCCGTCATTTTAATAGGCTCAGTTTTAGGGACAAGCATGAAGCCCAGATTGGCCATTGTGCGACCGTGCAATTTGTATTGAGACCAGTTAACACATACTCCATTCACGTGTGTACCTTTGTGTACACTATGGCCCTTCCATAGTTGTATGGTACACGGTGTGTGTGACTTAAAACCCATTGTTCAAGGGGGTTATGCTTAACAAGGGTTTTAATTCCATTTGCGATTATTGTGGTGGGAAATGTCTCATTATATTAAAGGTGTATGGTGCTCGTATTAGTTTACAAGGACTCAGATGTTAATAGGATTGATACGTAAACCGTGACTGTTTTATTGTGTTTATTTCATATTATGGGGTTGCCTGTAAACAAGTGCAGATATAACATTAATCATCGTAGTATTATGTATATCTGATTTATTATTTAGATATAAAGTAGACTATTTTTCCCTTGCTTAGACAATCTATGGTTAAGTCATTTTATGTAATTGTTAAGAAGGACAGTGTACTGTGTCATGTTTTGTGAAAATACATCAAAGTAAAGAATTTATCTCAGAAACTCTGGCATACACTAAATCATGTCCTGAAATGTCTTTTACTCCCCTCATCAGCCTGTTATCTGTCAAAAACATTTCAGCTATGTCCTTAACAGTAAAGCTGACAGCCTGATACATTATCATTGATCTTGACTTTAGATTATGAATAATTGAAAGCACTGAAAATATATATTGCATATTCAATATATAATCGTAGAGTGCAAAATATAATATACACCAGGTGTGATTTTACTGAATTGCTGTCACACAATATATACTATCAAGCAGATTAAAAGTAAGCATCCCACATTTTTATTTCTCAAAACTACTTGGCATATTTCTTCTCCATGGATATATATATGATAATATTATGATTAACTTTTGACAGAGTGACTTTGGTATTCACCCATTTGCATTCAGTATATAGTCAATTTTAAGGCAGTAATTTTGCAATACAAATTCAAGGCTTTTTATTCCCAATCAAAAAACCTGAAATATCTTTTAACTGGTACTTGTAGATCGACAGTTTGCATATTTATTTGGCACATCATATTAGATTGTGCTTGTTGGGAAAAATTGGGTACAGTGATTGTGCTTTTCTCATCCAATGCATTATTTCATCTTTCATGGATGTGCACTTTAGTACACACAGGCACACACACGCACACACACACACACACACACACCATAAATGCGTAAGTTCAGCTGATAATGTAATTTTGGGCGTACATGAAAATTTTATGCTTTTCAGCGAAAAACTGGTGCTTCTGTTTGGTCAGTTAAAGCGAGAACTATTCAGTGCCAATTCTATGGAGGAGGTGTTTAGACTAATGCAAGAACTGAAGACAGCAACTGAGAAAAATATGGCTCTCAAGAAATTCTTTTGGAAGGTGAGTATGCTTATCAGTTTTTCCCTTTCTTCAGTCTGTTCAATATGATAACCAATTTAGTTATAAGTGAAAAACATTTCAGTTTTTGTACAATCGGAAAATATTGCAAAAAGAAATGACTTTGATGTATTTTAATAGATAGACTAAAGCTTCAGTATTTTGTGTCAGAGATTACATTTTGTTGACTAATAAAGTGCAAAATTGTAGAAAAATGACAATATTTTAAAAATTACTTTTAGCACAATTCCAACTCCATTTAAAGTGCAGATTCTTATCTTACAAGGACATATGGATTTTGATAAATTAATAAATAATTTTTGTAGGAAAATATTTGTGAGAGTAACATCAGAGCTTTTTTTACTCCAAAGTTGTATGTACGGCAGCCAAAAATGTAAAACCCCTTTTTACTGAGATGAATAACAGATACATGAATTCGATATCAGATAATGAGATTCTTATCCATTCTTTTTCCTTTCAGTCCCCAGATCTGATAATGAGATTCTAATCCATTGTTTTTTCCTTTCAGTCCTCAGATCTGTTTAACTTCATCGTCCATCAGCTCCAGAAGTACCTTCCCAAGTCTCCACACAGTATGCAGGGAGACAAGGCGAGAACACAGAGAGCAGATGAATTTGAGTAAGGAATGCCTCAAGAGATCTAGCAATTTCTGTGTGTGATTCTTATTATGTTTCATAGTTGTGAATTAGACAGTGATCATCATTTTCACAAGTCTACAAAGCATAAACTTTTTGCCAGACCCCCATTCACTTTATCTATTTATGTGTATTTATTTGTTTATTTATGTATTCATTATTATTATTATTATTATTATTATTGTTCAATCCTAATGTAAACAAACACTCCTTTTGCAGACTAGTTGTTCTTCTAGTGGACACATTAGCGCTGATGTTTCGAGAGACAGAGATCTTACCCACCCGGCTGCAGTGTCTTAAGTCAGGCAAGGGAAAAGCTTCGGTGGACCTGATGACGGTGCTGACCTGCCTGCCTGAGGTGCCACAGAAGTACAAGCCACCGTCCAGTAAAGCCGCCGCCCTGCTGATGACATCACAGGCAGACCAGTGGAAATGTCTGGCCGATGCTGAGGTACGGGTGGTGTCTGCTTCTTGTGATAGGCCGCATTCAGAACAGATGATCTGCGAACTAACTGATCCGCGAATCAAATATAGCCGGCTCCATTTAAAAGTGATGCTGCTTACCCCATAACAGTCTTCTTGCCTACCACCCACGCCAGGCCTGCAGGGACCTGGCAATTAAACGGATTAAATATGAGCTCTGAGATGTAATTGCTATGCTACTGCAGAGCTGCGCATGTGGTAGGCAGGTAGACCATAAGGGGATTAGCAGCATCTATTTAAAGTGGATAAACCAAATTTGATCCATGGATCAGTGAGTCTGCAGCTCAACTTGTTCTGAAAGTGCCTTTAGAGTAAAATGGGGTGGTTATATGGGTGGTGGGTGGTGGAGGGGGGTGTACTTAAAGAGCTAACTGGCCTGGATGTTTATAGATAACACCCAAAAACAAAAAGTTGGTCTCAACTTATAGACCAACTACTTGATCTTTGACTACTTCAGTTCCCTATAAAATTTAAGTCTAACCTGACGAGTTTTCACTACCTCATCCTGTAAAACTGTAACCTTTCTGATTTCTTTTATTATCTGCAGATTTCTCAGCTGGTGACAGAATTCACGGACATGGCTGCTGTGGTGCTGTTTGAACTAATGGTCATTGCCAAAAATGTAAGTATACAGTGAACCACCAGCAATTCATTTTTTTTCTGGGCTGTTTTAAAGAAGTGTAATATAAGGTTTTATAAAATGGATCAATAATTAAAGAATTAATGTTATTCTATGCTAATTTTTAAATGGTGTATAATTTTGCTCTTCACATGGACACTGAACGGATGAAAATTAAATGTATTTATGATATAGACAAATACTGCATTGAAGTTATATTTATTTCGTTCTGGGCCTGTTGTGAATGATAATTATTATTCATGTATATACCCTAGTATGGCATGCAAGAAGTTCTCACCCTGAGTCTCAGAGCACTGGCTCAAACTCCTCTTCTACTCAATAATGTCAGTATTGTAAGAGTCCCATATGTGGGGCTTATCCAAGAGACTTTCCTCAACCTGAAACTTGGGGTGATAGGTCTAGGTCATATTTTTACATGCACGTCACCATAGCATGCACTATACATATAACTCTCATGTAACCTATATTATTCCTATATAGACACTTTGGATGGACATAGAGGTATAACTACATTGTAGCTCATTATGGGTTGAATGTGGATGCATGGGCATGGTTTTTCTCAATCTCTTACTTCAGACTCAAATTACACTATCTGATCTCTTTTTCCAACTCCATTATTTTCATTAATTTGTATTTGGGTTGTATTAAATGTCAGCTTGACCCCTTTCAAAGAAAAAAGCTTTTGAATTTATTTATTTATTTATTTATTTTTTTTGGGGGGGGTACGTATTTGCTGAAAATCATGACTTTGAGATTTGAAAAAGATTTTTATTGATATTATTATAATAATTATAATTATTATTGTCAGAAAAAAATATTCATGTTAAACTTTGTTTTTGTCAACAGCTGACATTCAGTACCCACCCTAGAAATATCTGGTTCTTCTTTTGATTCTACTAGTGTAATCAGGTTGACAGATTTTTATTTACAATCTGTATTTCATCTCCAGTTTTCATAATTTTATGGTTAATTTCTGTGATTTTCATCAATACTTTTTCTTTTCGTATGGTTTACGTATTGGGGCCACATCTTTTAGCATAACCTAAAATTTACATTTTTAATATCTAAATAATTATGATTGATATTCAAAACATCTTGGTTATTTTATTGTTTTACTAATTAAGTGTGTGTCCATGATAAGACCAGTCAGAGGGTGGCAAGGTGGGGGTCAACAGATTTCAACCAAATTCATAATATTGTTGCATATATAGGAGATATTAAGATTGAAGGCAACAATCCCAAAAGAAATCATTGGATATAATTATAATATGATATTATATGTTTTGGCCATTTTTGGCTTGATTTTCAGCTTCGGTCAATAAAGCCACTTCATAAGCAAATATTTCAAAACTGATGACTTTTTAAAATTAATTGAAAATTTACCTATTTAAACCAACCATTTGCCATTGAGAATATGTTATTAAATATCAGTTTAACCCACAAACTAACGAGCCACGCCCATTTTTATGACCCCACCCCCCAAACTCACTTTTCTACCAAGCAATGTTCAAACATTCATATCTCTCTTTTTGCAGGCTTGACAGCCATAAAATTTTATAGGGATCCTAAGCATATATTGGTCTAATCATACAAAATTCAAAAAGTGAGTTAAACACAACAGAAGACATTGAAAAAGTGCCTCAAACTTTAGCAATTTTAGCAGAAAACCAAACGGCCGAAATCAAGATATCAGTACATTTTGAGATAATACCTTCCAATAATCAAATTTAATCAAAGACTCACAGCCAGGAATTCAAACTATGCTTTGATAAGGGCAAATCTATCCAATTTTTATAAATACAAAATGGCTGCCATCAAATCTGTCCCAAAATACAGTTACCCTAATTCCTCAAAATAATCAAGAGGCCCATTTTT